ATGTTTCTAACTATCCCTCTTCCTTCCTCTCTGTAAAAAAATCAATAAAATATATATTTTTTAAAATAAATAAATAAAATAAATCATGGTCGAGGCATTAAGATTTCTGCAGGCATGTGTCTGTGCTTTCTCAAGAACTTCTAATAATCTTAAAGACCCGCTCGCAGAGCCGAGAAGGAGGCGGTGGTGTGTGTGGAGCGCCGCTGCCAGGCTGGGAAGATGCTATCTCTCCGCAGCAGCCACTGGCAGGCTCACTGCCTGGGCATAAGAGTTCAAAAGACACTTTCTCGCCTAACTTTGATTACAAGTCAACCTTCGCTTGCTAATTCAGCACACTTGCCACGAGTTACTGGCTTTCCTCATCTCTTCCTCATTTCTCCCCTGTGGCACACTTTCCTGGAACCCAACTCCTCAAGTCTTCACTTGCTGTCCCGAAGTTCCAGGCGATCTGCTTGGCGTGCATCCCTGTGACAGCGCGCTCAGGGCCCCATCCCTGTGACAGCGCGCTCAGGGCCCCATCCCTGTGACAGCGCGCTCAGGGCCCAGGCTGCTTCAGCAACAACAGCTGACGTGCCTAACACTTCGCGAAGCAGGGAAAGCCACGGAGCAGCAGGGTTTGTTCCTCTTCCAGCTGTCGAATCCGAATCCCTGGGTAGCAGAGGAAGACTCCAGTCCCGAGGCTGCTAACCTCCGCGGATGCCAGCCTGCGGAGGCCGGGCAACCTCACTGACCACCAGCCCTGGTAGAGCAGGACGGCTTCTGATGGCACCAGAGTGAGTGTGACCAGAGCCTTTTCTTAGATTTGAGGAAAGACAGAGGCGTTTTCCTCCCAGGATGCAGGGAACAAAGAATTATTTCCCGGAGCCCATTTGTTAGTACAATGATTTCATGTAGAAGAAACTGGCAGGGTGTCTCTATGTTCTAGAAAACACCCCACACCTCAGGGAGAACACATCCTAATCTTAGAGGTGTGAAACCTCATGTTTAGGTTGTTATATGAGGCGCTGTGTTTCTGAGCATTTAGCCAAGTAAGAGTTCGGGGCCTCCTTTCCACGTGTCTGTGCCCTGGCACCAGCCGGCGCTGCACGTGGCCAGGGGCTGCTCCGGGTCCCTCTGACTGTTCTCCCTGAAGGGAATTTACACACACACTCACCCCAGTGTGCTCAGCACACTTTGGTTTTCAATTACTTCAACCACCTCGGGCAAACTGAGAAAATCAAGACTTCAAACCACTGGGTGTGCCCGCCAGGGAGGGGGGTTAAAGTGAGAACGAGGGGAGGAGGGAGCAGAGAGAGATGATGGTTAAAGCTGGGGAACGTGCCTGAAAGGAAATGAAAAACTTTAAATTTTTTATATTGACCTTTTGCTAACATTTTGTCACACAAGCATAGACCAGATCAAGTGATTTCTCAGGAGCGTCTAGTACAATCGTCCCCCATGAAAGAGAGGCTGGGCAGAGCCAATAAAAGGCACTCGTGTTCACGGTCAAAGGCAAGGCCCCTAGAAAGAAGTGGCCCATCCCTTTCCAGCTTCAACTCTAGACATCTGATGGCAAATCCCTATTTGAAAAGGAAGATTTACGTGGATATCTAAAATCATAATTTTCCCTTAGTCTTTTTCCCAGGGACGATAAAGGGAAAAGAACCCAAGAGTCGATACGAATTTCTTCAACATCAGGAAACATTTTGATGATGAGTTGAGTGTTAAAAAATCAGAAACATGGTTTTAATTGATTGTGAAATAAATAATGTTTCAAAATGAAAGGAAAAAGTGTTCAGATGTAAAGCATTAAAAGGGACTCAAATCTCAAAAGCTGCTTCAGGCACCCACTCCCAACCCCATCTTCTTTCCTCGCCTTCCTGTTGGGGTTCATGTTTTCATGACAGTCAATTACTGCTGGATTTCCTGACCTATATTCACTTGCAAGTATGCCTCTCCGGGAACCTGCGGGGCTTCTGAAATGTTTCAAAGTAAAAGCACAAACATCTTCTGGTTTAGGACCAAGGCCCTGGGTGTGAAGACAAACTCAGGATCGGTGGAAGCAGAGACAACAGGCCCGGATCAAAGCTCATCTTCTGATCTCCAAGATGCCTGTGGGGTCCTCCATCCCCAGAGACTCTGATATAATCAGTCCCAAGGAAAGACCCAGGCATTGGTCTACCTCAGTGGTTCTCAACCTTGGCTGCACATTAGAATCACCTGGGAATCTTTTTAAAATCCTGATTTCTGGGCCTCATCCTCCAGAAATTCTGTTTCTTTATTATGGAGTGGGGCCACAACATTAGTAACAAAGAAACAGAATTTCCGGAGGGTGAGGCCCAGAAATCAGGATTTTAAAAAGATTCCCAGGTGATTCTAATGTGCAGCCAAGGTTGAGAACCACTGCTCTAGATGGTTCTAATGCATACTAAAGCTTGAGAACCACTGCACCTCACTGCCTCTCCCATGCAGAGGGTGTATAAACAGAAAACAGAACCCTCGACTTTCTGCTGAGCTTCCCGCCTTGTGGGTGGCGGTTGGGTGCACATGGTGCCATCTTCAGTGGAGGGTGAGCTATATCTTCCAGTGACCGAGAACTCGAAACAGCTGATCTGTGGGCTATTCTCCCACCAGAGAACATAACCATAACTCAGTCTACAGCAACGTGGAGCCTTGTCCAATTAGGGGATGAATTCTTCCAGGATGACACCGCTGTGCTCACCATGCAGAGCAAAGCCACAGGAGACTCAGCCCCTCACTGAGCGATTCCAAAACCTCACAGTAACTTTTTCCTGCTTCTCCACTAACAAGATTGTGAAGCAGCCCAGAGTCTCCGTACGGCTAATGATCAAACCAAAACACAGCAATCTCTTTCCCAAGTCTCTATGAACAGAAAAGTACAGAATATTCCTAAGTAATTTCGGAGATACTTGCCATGCTTGATTCTCTAAAATTTCTGTATGTGCAAGAAACTAGTCCCTCTCCCTTTAGGAAGGGAAGGGGGTGGGTGGGGCGGGGACGGGTGAAAAGGAAGTTCACAGATGGGCAACCCCCCCCAGCAGCCAGGCACTCATCTTCCTGCAGTGATTTGCAGCTTTCCTCCAAAAATAACTATGAGATCACAGAACATTAAGTGCATGACACCAAACATTTGTAAATAATCCAAGAAAATAAAGTAAGGCCATCATGTTGCATGGGGAACGCAGTGGAATTTGTCTTGTGTTATGGTTCTAAAAGAAGACGGCCTCAATTTGGCTGAAATATATCTTCACACATTGTTTTGCAGAGCAGAGCTGTTTGAGAAATTCTGATGGCAATTATAAGTGCTGAATGGGGAGTACTTTGCATTTCCTTTGACGATGCTGAAAGCTATAAGCAATCCTGATATTAAAATCTTTGGAAATTGATGAGTACCCCAGGCATCATTACAAGACTTTTTCCCCCAACCAAAGTAATTAAAATCTATTATGTGAATACATGTTAATATTTTATCAACTACTGTTTTTAATCGACTAAACACGTGAAACCTCCCAGAAATAGGAATGATATCTGTTCATTTTAAATGACGCCCCAGTCGCCACCCCCTAACCTCCTCCAATTCCCAGCCAGACGTATTCCCGAGTCCGGATGGGAGCGTCAGCACGGACATACCACAGTGCTGAATTCCGGGACCTGCCACAGCAGCCAGTCTTCGTTAAGGGTGTACAGGGCTTTGCACGTGATCACATCTACGGGACCCTTGTTTATTTTCTGGTTTAAAGTCGTCACCAACAAATAGAACGGCTCTCCAACAGTCTCCTTGGAAAAGACACAAAAGTGACAGTTAGCTCTCTGTGGAATCCACTGTACTTTCCAAAGAATTAAAGTTTCAGTTTATGGCAGTACAACACGAGACAGGAGGCAGTGTTTTCTAACAACCAAAGGAAACTCCCAGGAAATACATACTCCTCCACTTAGGACTGAGAGTGTGCGTGTGTGCGTGCACACACACACACACGCACGCACGCACGCACACGTGTGCACATGCATGCGCGCAGGCAGTGGACAGCCACGTGAAGTGCGTGTGGTGGTGGAGCACTCTTGTCTGCTGATGCCTGTGTGCAGACCTATGCTTGTCAGTTGGCTGTCACCTAAGAACACTCAGTAGATGCGGAGGTTTAACCTTTGTACACATTCCTATTTAATTGCCTGTTTTTTAAGAGAAAAACTGAAAATAAATGGCTTCTTAAAAATTCACAGTAATTAGCCTTGGTAACTAGAATAAACATAAGGACATTTTAGACGTTTGCCAAGAAGGATGCTTTTTGGTGTTAACAGCTTTTCATGAGGGAAGTGGCCTTCGGTTAGACAGCAGGCAGCCTTGTCTGCAGCCCCTGCAGGCCAGTCCCGGGCTGTCCCAGCCCAGGGCGCAGTCCCGCCTGGCACCTTTGCTGGGCGGGGCCGCAAGTGTGTCACCACCTTCCCCTGGACCAGAGCCAACTGCCAGCGCTAAGGCTTTTGCAAACATCCTGATGGCTCCTTTCTCCACACTCTGCCACCTGCACTTTCTCCTGGACCAGGGGCTGCCAGCCCTGCTGTTACTGAAATGCCTCAAATTTGTACCTACTTTGTGGTCAAATGGAGTCTGGGCAGTCCAAGTGGAAGCTTGTTCATTCTGCCTCTGCTGCAGGCTTTGCTAAATAATAAACCCTCTATGAGCAACGGACATTAACCAGAATATGGGGGGGAGGAAGAGCAGGGCAGACCCAGGAAGTCAGACTGCCTTTGTGATGATGAAAGGTCAGCCACGTGACCAGTTTACGAGGTCAAGCTTTCCGGCCACTGCATCTGGCTTTGAAAGGAGCATCCATGGACCGCTCTCCTGCTTTCCCTTGAACATGTTTACTGAGGCTTCTTTTAAATCTCCTGGGTCCCCCCACCCCATCCCATCCTTAGACCAGCGGTTCTCAACCTGTGGGTCGCGACCCCTTTGGCGGTCGAACGACCCTTTCACAGGGGTCGCCTAAGACCATCCTGCATATCAGTTATTTACATTACGATTCATAACAGTAGCAACATTACAGTTATGAAGTAGCAATGAAAGTAATTTTATGGTTGGGTCACAACATGAGGAACTGTATTTAAAGGGCCAGAAGGTTGAGAATCACTGCTTTAGACTTATTCCAAGGGCATGAGCCCTCCCCACTCCCGGAGCTTCCTCTTGCCCCTTCTGCCCCCGACACGCCAGTGGGCTCCGTTATCCCTTCTCTCTCCCCTGCTGCAGCATCCTGAGTCTCCTCCTTACTGTAGGACAGAGGTGGGATGTTAAAAAATTCCCCAGGGGGAGACAGGGTTGGAACTAGTGCGCGGCATTTAAATTCCTTTGAGAAACTTCCTTTATTTCGTGGTCCACAACCACACTGCTCTCTTCTCTTCCCCTTCGCCCTCTTGGGTAATGTCCTGACCGCAGACCTAGAACCTCTGCTTCTCCTTTCCTCCAGCACATCAGAGACGGGGTGGCGCCCGGGTGAGGGGCTGGAGGTGCCCACAGAGGAGATGGGGTAATGCCCTGGGGAGGTGCTGAAGGTGATCACAAAGGCTGGAGTCAGGGGCCAGGTGGGCTCTCCTGGGCTGTGTGGACTCAAAGGAATTCTTCCAGGGGCAGCTGGACTGGGATAAGTAGCATCTCGTCTTACACGGCCGCTCACAAACATGGTTATAACCCGGATGCCCATCAGCAGAATTCCTGGGGGCTCTTGTAAAAAAATCTGGTGCCTGGGCCCTACTTTAAACCCACACACCAGACTCTCTAGAGCTAAGGCCTGGCATCTGTTGTGTTAACACCCCTTAGGGGACACAGAGGCGGGCGTAGGAAGCCATGGAGCCCTGCGGTTTCTCTGTCACCTCTGAACACAAGGTCTAGGTTAGTCATACCTGCTGAGGGCAGAGGCATCTTGTCAGACCAGGGCACACAGTGGCCCAGGAGCTGGCCTGTGGCAGAGCCCTACTCACCCAACAGCCCCACCCCCGTCCCCTCCTGTGCTGGCACCTAAGCTTGGCCCCTTCACTGTCCTTTTTCTGTGAGACCTGACTCTGGCCCTGGCTGAGCCAGAGGCTTTCAGCATCTGTGATCTCCTTCCATCCTTAAATCCTCGGCTAAGCCTGTAGGAAGGTCCCTGCCTCACCGGGGAGGCAGTCAGTAAGCGGTGGCTCAGAGCTCCAATCCCTGGGGCTGTCGCATGCCAGCTGTGGGGCCTGGGGAAACACATCTATGCTGTGTGCCCCAAATCCCCGTGTGCAAAATGGTCATAAAGGTACCTACCTCGTGGGATTTAAATGAGAAAAGGTGAGCAAAGCTCCCAGCATGATGTCTGGCACATTCAATAAATGGCAGTAATTAATATTATTGTTACTTTGCTGCCAGAGCCTGGGAGGTTCACAGGGGTAGTTACCTGAGGTTACAGAGCCAGTGGTGCCAACAAATGTTTGTGGGGTGAGGCAGGAGGACTAAGGCCGTCAGAGTCCCACACCACCTCGGGCACCTGGTGAGGGAGTCGGGGCCTCCCTTGCAGAAGGAATTATTCTACTGAAAACAAAAGTATCGCCCACTGGCTCAATGCCACTTCCTCCCAGTGAGCACCCCGCCCCCTCACCCCAAGCGTTCAAGATACTCTTCAGTCAGCACTGTGGAATCTTGACCCAGAATCCTCTGCTCAAGGGTGCCCTTAGGGCTTGGAGCCCAGATTTTCCAAATGCCTCATCCGTTTAATGTCCGAGTAGCAAGAGCAAGACACCGACCAAACCTTGAGGGCCCAGAATTAGAATCGGAAGATCCCAGAAGAAAGAGCTGGAAAGGAATTTAAAACCAGTGACCACGAGATACCCAGAGACACACAGCTATCTGGGGCTGAGATGCACTTAGCGCTTGAACTTGCAGCTTCTAACCAAGACTCCTAGTCCAGTGCTCATTCCACTACCCCCGAGTTCTCAAATGTAGGGCAGGTGGCATTACCTGGAGGAGCTTAGAAAACATGGATCATGGGGCCCCCGCTCAGAGTTCTGGTTCAGTGGCATTGTGGTGGGGCAGCCATCTGCCTTTTAAGACTAAGTCCCGAGAACTCAGTAAGAGTCCTGCTTAGAAGGGTCCTGTTTAGAGGCAGTTGTGGCAGAAACTAGATTGGTGGGAAGCAAAAAATATTCACCCCAGAAATAGCCACTCAACACCTCCCAAAAGCGTGTGATGATTTATACCAAGTAAACAGAAAAGAAGGCAGATTTCATTAATCTTAATAAATGGGCATTGCCTTGGGAGAGGAAGGGGTTGGTAAAAAAATTGTTGTGCATCTATTTGTAAGATTGCATTAAACATTCAACTAAGCACAGTCTATTTAAAGCGCTGCTTTTGGATCTAAACTTAAGTAGAACTGTTAAAACCTGTGGCATAGCAGTGTATCTTATTCAAAGTTTAATTAGATTTTGAAACGAGCTACAAATGCACAATTATGCAGTTTTGCTGGAATCTGGGTGATTTGAAATTAAAGAAGGATAAGAACCCTCTGCACCAGGGGCCTCCGAGGGCCAAGGGAGGTTGGTTCAGCAGAACACTCTCGCTCTCCTCCTGTTAATAGCTATAATGATGACCAGCACTGACGTGTTAAGCAACTGCACACATTTTCTCATCCGCGCCTCAGAGCAGGCCTGGATCTTCTTCCTCCAGGGCCACAGGTTATAAAACCTCAGCTCAGACAGCCCGGGGCCTCTGGTAAGTGGTGGAGTCTTGATTTCGGACCAAGCAGTGGGCTCCAGGGCCCACTCTCTAAACCACTGGAATCTGCACGAAGTTTGTATTTGAAAAAAGTTCAAGATTCAATTAGATTATAGCCAGGATCTTACAGTAACTCCAACAAAGTGAACTCAAAGGGCAGATGGCTCCTTGGGGTCTTGCTTCAATACGGGATGACTGGTTAGAACGAGTGTAATTAGCTTACAGCACATTGGTAGGTAAATGGTGTTTCCCAGATGCTTCAGAGGCCCCAAGAATAGCGTGTTCTTTTCAGTATCTGAAATATTCCCTCCACTCAGTACATTTTCTTAAATGGGCTGACTGGGCCCTGATTGTTAATGAATGAAGTGAGGTGGGCTCAAAAGTCAATGGGATGGGGGTAAGAGGGGAGATACCTGTAATATGATCAACAATAAAAAGTTTATTTAAAAAAAAGTCAGTGGGTATAAAATTTCAGTTATGCAAGATATGTTCTAGACATCTATTGTCCAACATCATGCCTATAGATAAAAACACTTAAAAATCTGATAAGAGGGTAGGTCTCATGTTCTTACCACAATAAAATTTTTAAAAGAGAAGAGTCCTACCTGAGGAAATTCTAAGTGAATGTACATTTGCATAGGCCAGTTACAGCAAAAACAATTTTTATTTCCCCCTCTGTGTGTTCCTGGTGAGGACCAGTGATGGGGAACTCAAGAAGTTAAATGTTTTTAGGTTTAGATGCATAGTTAACAGGCTTAGTAATTGATGCAAGTAGAAAGCTATTGCTCCAGGGACTGGAATGTATGACTGGACCTGCCCTGACTTCAAGATCTGCAAGCAATGCGACCTTGTGCCCCAGAAGTACTCAAGCGACCAAGATGGTACCTGAGTCATTGTGGCCCAAGGAGAGAAAGTCCACCACCCAGGATGCAGAACAAGAATCACCTGACAGCCCGGCTGGTGTGGTCCAGCGGCTGAGCGTCGACCTATGAACCAGGAGGTCATGGTGCGATTCCCAGTCAGGGCACATGCCTGGGTTGCGGGCTCAGTCCCCAATGGAGGATGTGCAGGAGGCAGCTGATCAATGATTCTCTCATCATTGATGTTTCTATCCCTCTCTCCCTCTCCCTTCCCCTCTGAAATCAATAAAAATATATTTTAAAAAAGACAGTTAAAAAAAAAAGAGTCACCAGTGTCAGATGAAGGGATGCTCAGAAAATCATCAAACTGCAGCTTTTATCTGACTAACCTTTCCCCTGAATTCTAAATCCTTTACCTATACTTTTCTTCTCTTTGTAAAAAGGTAGGCTCGAGATGAGATGTAAGACAGTCTTTTTAGTGTACAGAACCCGCCGCCTTCTCAGATCACCAGGACTAAAAGCGAGGGAATGCTAACACCATGGAGCGCTCAGGACTTATCCTGGCAAAGACATTGGCATCTGCTAAAAATAACTGCCTATTGTCTTACCTCTGACCTTCTGAGGGGGGTGTGACACTTACCCGCAGGAAGCCAGAAAGGCAGACGGACATCCAGTTTGTGAGGAGTTTTTCAACCACGGACTCAGTGCGCCTCAGCATGAGTTTCGGCTGCATGTTACTGGACTGTTCCATCAGGTCCCTGGTCAGTACCTCCAGGATGCTGGTCAGATAGACCAGCTTGGTTTGCAGTGCGATGGTTAAGAAGGAGGCAAACAGACACCTGTTTAAAAATAAAGCCTTGGTCACAATAGCCAAGACCTGGAAACAACCTAAGTATCCTTCAACAGGTGCATGGGCTAAGAAGACGTGACACGTATATGTATATACATGTGAACTGGAATACCATTCCGCCATGAACAAGGATGAAATCTGGCCATTTGCAACCACTGAATGGACCTTGAGGGCATCATGCCAAGTGAAATAAGGCAGACCGAGAACGATAAATACGTGGGACCTCATTTATAGCAAAAGAGATCAGATTATTTGTGGTTACCAGAGGCAGGTTAAGGGATGAGAGGGGGGAATGGACTGAAGGGGGTGAAAAGGTACAAATGTCCAGTTCTAAGATAAGTACTTCCTGGGGGTGTCATGTACGGCATGGTGACTATAGGTAACACTGCTGTGTGGTGTATTTGAAAACTTTTAAGAGAGTAGATCCTAAGAGTTCTCATCACAAGGGGGAAAAGCATTTTTGTAGCTATACGAGAGTAACTACACTTATTGTGGTAATCATTTTGCCATATATTTACGTCAAATCATCATGCTGTATACCTTAAACTTATACAGTGCTGTATGGCAATTAAATCTCAATATAAGCATAAAAGAAAAAGATATACAGATTACAAAAAGCACACATACACACACACACACACACACACACACACACGAAAAAAGAGAGCTCGGTAATGTGCTTAGCCATCAGCTGTGACACAGACGGTAGTTTCCACCGAAGCCTGAGGGGCCATGGGGTGCTGTCCATGGGCGCTTTTGTTCAATGTCTGGGTTTCAACCACCTTCATCCTCCATCCATGAAAACCACACGCCAATGTTAACTTCAGCACATTTTATGTGTTTTCAGCACTTGAACTTTAAACTAGAGCGGTAACAAAAAGTGAATGTCTTCCCAAAATTTCAGGGTGTTTTTAAAAATAGAAAATAGCACTTCTGCTTTTTTGATTCAGGACTCATGGTTTTTTCTTGGTGTTGGGGTTTTGCAGGGTTTTTTTTGGGGAAGAGGGTTGCATGTGTACATCTTTAGAATAGAATTTGTGTTGGGGGGTGTGATCTGAAATGGAGGTTCCCCAGCAGCGTGACCGCCCAGCCAAGCAGCCTGCTGTCAAGAGCCGAGTCCAGGTGGTGTGTGGAAATAAAATAAGGAGCTCGGGTTTTATTTTCTCTACTTAATGGCTTTCAAAATATAAACAAATTGACTAGTACCTGTCCTTCACTGAAAAATTCTTCTGTTTTTCAAGGGTGTGGATGACAGTAACAAGGAAACTTTTATTACAAATGAGGGCATCCAAAGCTGTGAGTCTCTCATTCTTGTCATTGGCATCTCTGTTCTGGAAAAAAAAGTGTATACTATAGTATAATAGAATATAATAACTTAAAGTTAGAAAGTAGATCCACAATGGGTTTTCCAAGACAATGAATTATTTAATATTGAATTCATGATCCCAAAAAAACCCACAATAAAAATTCGAAGTAATAATGGAGATGACAATGATGATGATAACACTATGCAAGTCAGGCAGTCATGGGCTAGAAATGAAAACTTATAGACTTACATGCATATCTTCAGTGAAGATGTGTGTGAAGCCACCTGACTGAGAGGAAGGAGACACTTTTATTATTCATAACATCCAAAGGAAATTAATAGTGCTTTTTGTTATAATACCCAAGTTCGTTTTAATAAAGCAGAGACACTATTTGCTAATCTGAAGAGCTCCTGGGTTTATGCTCACTGCATAGTCTCTAATACATAATAAATAATTATTCAGCTCTCAAGAGACACCAGTGAATTCTGAAAACCTCTAAGAAGAAGAATTATCATGGCCTCAGTCCCGATTTTGGTAGATGAAGGCCTCTCACACTTTAAAAGAATTGACTCACAGTTAAAGAAGTAGTAGTTAAATATGCAGACCACTCCTCATGCCCTTTAACTTCTGAGCATAAATATAGAATTGTGTTCGCAAGTTTTTGCAAGTCTTAGCTTAGTAGTATCTATTGTCTCAATGCCCAAGGTTATTCAAGAGAGTGGTTAAAAGTAGAATCTAGAGCCAAACTAATGAGCTTCCAGTCCTGGCTCATCACAGACTGGTCACCTCACTGTTGACAGGTTGCAGAACCTCTCTGTGCCAGACTCTCCTCATCTGTAAGACGGGGACAACAGTGATTCCACTTGTGGGCTTGGTGTGAAAATAAAATAAAGGAATGCAGAGTAAGTGCTCAATGTCAGCTATTATTGTTGTTTTTATCACTAACTCACAGCAAACTAGACCACGGTATTGTTGTCCTGCTGCTTTCTAAAAGTACCTTTATGCTCAATGCTATGTAGCTCTAGGATATAAACTTTTAAACGTGAATTTTCTTTTTTTTAATGTATCATAAATCTTATTGGAATTAAATGATTAAATTTTAAAAGCATGCTGAATAACACTTTAAATGAGTCAACAGATTGAAAAATAAACTCCAGAACATTCAGTGTTCTTTCTTCTTTGGGGGGGTAATAATTGGAACTTTAGGCTATTTATCTTATTAAACTTCTTCTGCAGATAATTTTTGCTTTATTTTTTTAGCCCAAGCAAGAAGACCTTAACCATTTTGGCCATACTTTCCCTTGGTAGTAGGCAGAAAAATCAAACTCTGGATTTGCATCTCCTACTTCCTACTATTCTTCTGCTGAGTCAACTTTAAGTAGATGGGCAATTTAAACAGATTGATTCTTGATCTTAAATAGGGAAATGCCACCTTGGCTATTGTTGTGTAGGCTGTTGTCATTTTTTTATTTGACAGACTAAGGGAAAAGAGGTCAGTGCCCAATCTGACTGAAGAGTCAGATACTGCATGTTTTAAACATTCTTGCGGCATACCCGTTGAAAATCGCTGTCCTAAGATAATACAGAATTGTTCCTGGGACTTTTTTAAACAGTTGCAACAGTGCTTCTTTGTATTCATCACTCTCTCTTGCTCCTGATTACTGAATTTAGAAGATAGGAAAATTTATTTTTCAGGCCACAGATTACTCTCTTCAGCACTCAAGAGCAATCATTAACTGTAAAAGCCCACACAGTACTCATGTTGATGATAGAAATCTCTGTTATTTTCTTGGTATTAAATTCTTAATGGGGATGTCAGAGAGCTGGGAAGTGGGACTCCTAATGCAAGCTTGGCTGAGGCTCTGCGCCGTCATCCTGACTCAGGACACTGGGCTCCCTCCCTCCAAGGCGCTCTTCTGCAGAAATTGGTGAGGTGGCAAAATGGCAAGTCTTGGCGGCTGGCACTCTTGGAGGATAAGTTTAAAAAATACTTTATAATGCAAAAAGCTGAAGTCTTATTTATAGCCTCCTTGATTTACGACAGTAAGACTTACACAAAAAACATGGTGGGTGTTTGATGGCAGTATCCCAATCTCCAGACACAACATCACACATCATGGTGCCTACTTCTAGAATTATAGAGAAACTAGAAATTGCTTATGGCATGGGTCTGGATTTCTGAACTCTAGGCTTCTGGCCAAATGTAGCAGAGAAGCTTCTGAGAAGGGATAGAAGCTTGCTTTTGGCCTGGAGAGATTTCTGGCTTAAAAATCTTGGTTTAATCATGCTAATTGGTATTTATGTGTTCTGGAGGTTGGGCCTCTTGGTGGTCACCAGTTCTGGACAAAAAGGGCAGTTGGGGTATTGGGATGTGGGGGTGATGACAGGAGGATAAGTGTACCTCCCCAAAGACTTGGGAGGGTAAATGAAGGAGGCCGCATGAGTGGGTGAGAGAATGGAGGTGTGAGAACATAAGTGAGATTGAAACCCAAAGGGTTGAGTAGACTACCCCTTGGAGTCCTACAGCAAATCCATCATTGCGTGCAGCTGCTGCTACTAAATGAGGATGCTACTTACGGATTAGCTAAATAGTAACTACTGAAGGGAACCATAAAAACTCTACATTGTTAAGAATGGCTGTTATTAACTCAAATTCTCCTAGACATGTCTCCTGTCCTGCCTCTCGGCCGGTAGTACTTTTCATTTCCAATTGAGAAGTAATAGTGAATAATCTAGTGGCTGCAATGGAAATCATGCAGATAAACACAACAAATTGGCCAGCCCACAATTTATTGATTTTTAAATAAACTAGCTCGCTTCCCCGCTACAAATTCAGTTCTACACGGGTAGTAAAATAAAGCAAAAATCATCACTCTGAACTTCTGTCCCTCCGAGGTTTTTGTTACTGGACAAAGAGTAATTGCCAGCGACCCATCACTGCTCTGTGCCCTAATCAATCCAATTAATAACTATCCGCCTCCCTGCTCTGCTCCAACCTAAGCCACTGTTCTGTACCAAGCACATCATCTGCAGCTGTCTGGGAAGCAAACACCCGTTTCAACAATAGCAACAAGCACCTTCATTATTATTCAAGATTCAACCTTAGGAACATGATCAATGCTCTTACCTCGGGGAAGAAAGTTCTCAGAGCAAAATGTTTGTAGTCAAGGAAGGGAACAGTTCCAAAACTATCAACCACATCCAATTTATCCATCTGCAGCTCAGCAAAGCCTGCAAAACAGAATCCCAAGAGCAATATTTTAACTCGGCAAACAGTGGATAAAATCTTGTGCTGCTTTGTCTAATGCGAAGTCTGACCTTGGTTTTCATTAGAGAAGAAACAATAGATAATTACTTGGTTGGCTGCAGAGAGGAGCTGAAATAAGACACAAAGTCAGGCCCAGACCCTGCTGTTCAGTTGTCTTTTATTACACAAACACTTCTCATCACCATGGCCGCCTCCATTTAAGGGTAAAAAACAACAGCAACAACCCAAAAACGACAATACAAAAAGGCTTGTTTTTCTAGAATGAAATTTCGGAGCCTACCATCGCGGATCTCCTTCCGGAGCTCGCTCTCCAGCAGCTCCAGTTGTTGGCTCTGCTTGCGACTCAGCTCTTTCGACTTGTGTCTGGTCACCCCCACGGCCACTGCTGACACAGAGACCCAGCATCAGATTGACATGTTAACTTAAAAAAACAAAAAGAAAAATGAAAGTCACCCTTCATTGGGTGACTCAGTTCTTATAGAGAGAGACAGAGACAGTGTAGCATCTAAGAGGGGGAATTTATAAAAAGAAACCCCCCTGTGATGGGGCGCTTGAAGAAGAGGGTGCCAAAATGCAACAGAAAACAAAACATCCACTCATCTTAAAAAATGAAGACTAAATCAAATCACCTTTGCTTGTATTTTAGTGTTTGAGAAATAGAGGGGTGGGCAAAAGGAGGCTTACAGTTGTGAGTACGTGAAACACAGTTTATTCTTGTATTATTATTCATTAATTATTGTATTACTTTCCATACAAACAACTGTATTATTTTCCATACTTTTGCTCACCCCTGTGTAAGCCGCGTTGCTTCCCTGATCATTTGAACTGTGATGCCAAATGTCCTACTTACATTATTCCCCAGACTTCTTCTGGGATTTTGGACTCCCAGGACTTTGTCATCTCATGCTGCCATCCCAGCCCGCCCAGCCACCCCAGCCCTGCTTTTCCTAGCAGAACTGTATTTTACAAGTGAGATCTACACAACTATTAAAATGTTCCAAGGCTCATTCAAGCATGGCGATCCCACGGTGGTTGCCTACTGGTTGAATCTGGCTAACTGATGTGCTTTGTTTGGCCCACACAGCGTTTTAAAAAAAATTTTGATGTACACTATTTTTAAATTAGATGATTCCCGTTTTTTAAAATCTCTTGAAAATTTGAAAGATCTGGATCATTGGATCCCAATTTCCCCACAGCATCAGTTTGCTGGAGCTGAGTAGCCGCTACCACTTGAGAGAGGGCATATGTTCAGTGGGTTTTTGCCACAGTCTCCACTACGCTCTATTGCTCTGCGCAGGTCACTTAACTCATCTATGTTCCTGGTCCCTGTAGCCATTTAGTTTGTGAGCTCTAGTTCTGAGCTGCTTTTCATTTTAAGTCTGTTTCCTCTTGTGTTCTTAGAAGAAGAAAAAAGAACTCTTCTCCACAACTAATGTGGCACTTCATACTTCCACTTACCATAGGCATTGCCTTTCTAAGGTTTTCTGTTAATAGTTGCTAATGTCTCCTTCCAGACACTCGCTCCCTCACACGTCCACTCATCCATCTCTGCATCCATTTACCTTGTGTTTATTGAGTATCTGTTCTGTTGCTTATAACTGTGCCGTCTCTGGGGCTAGAGAAGATGAGGTCAGGCCTGGTCCTTTGTCGTGGGTGGTCCTCAGCCCAGCGAGGGGAAGATTTATGTGTATGATTAACTGGCCTCAGGGAATGAACTCCTCTCACAGGGACCCTCTTTTGCCCTGTCGATGATCATTTCAGGTATTTTTTATGCTCTTCCCAAGTTGTCTACCCCTATGTCATATCTGGAATCCAGAATTGGGCATGGTAGCTTACTAAAGTCCTATCCGGGGCTGGCCACGAGTAAGATGACTTATAAACTCTAAATGCTGGGCTCCATTCTGAGAACCAGCTGCAGTTAAGCCGCCGTAGGTAAGTTTCATTCTAAATTCACGTCCACGTTGCGGCCTACTAGGAACCCGGGATCTCACCTTTCCCCACCCTTCACTTTGCTTGTAGAGATTGCTTATGCTCTTTAAGGTAAAGTGGGCTTAAGCTGACACAATGCTTTTGGCTTCCTTGGTATCTGCAAAGTCCTTTAAACCCTCATCTCTCTTCCCAGGGTTCCACGGAGGCCCTGTCCTCGCAGCCGCAGGGAGTCTGCTCTTCAGTCCTCAATCACATCCTGAGTGAAAGCACTCACACACCTGGCCTCGCCTGCCGCCCACGGAGCATCCCACTGTGGCTTCCGCTGGCGATCACAGCCACGAAAAGCTCACTGCTCAGTGGCTGTGGCCCACTAGCTCCCTTTACACGCAGTGAGCAGTGCTGCCCAGAGTGCAGCCTGGGGAACAGAAGTCCCGAGTAATGCTCCTGGGAAGAACGCGTTCCGCATTCAACTTGGGAATTACTGCATGCCCCGCCCTTCCTTGAAGATGTACAATGCATGCTACGGTTAAGACTGTTGACTCTGCAAAGTGGTCCAGGGAGAAACTGTATTTAATTTTGTTTCCTCCAGCCTCACTCCCATCTACTGGTAGCAAGGTCTTTTTTATCATGAAACTTTTATTAAAAGAAGAAAAACTTTCTAGAATAAAATAATGACAATTGACAATTGTTCAATATTCTTTTTTTCCCCCTAAATGGTCTCAATGCTTTCTGTGAGTTACTTCTTTTAATCCTCTCCATATCACAACAAGGTAGGCCCTTTGACTGTAAGGCAACTGGAAACAGAGATGCTAAGGTCTAACCTTAGGAACGGACCTAAGGTCATACAGCTAGTAAATGGCAGAGCAGGGAATGAGCCCAGCATTAAACCTGTTTGGTTTGCTGCCTGCACAGCATAGATAGAAGCAAGATGAAGTGGGGAAAGAAGCAATATCCAGACACGGTGTTTCACTGTAGACCACCGTGTGATCTCTGCAAGTTCGGCTTATGCAGCTCACTGTGGATCTGTGGTTTCTTTCTATATTTGCGGCTCAACTTTATTTCTCCAGGGACGTTTAGAAACATTAAGGAAAAAAACAGAGGAACAATATAAGTGGCCTGTGGCTGTAGAGAAACTTGGTTTGTTTCATTACCTTTCAGCCAACTGGGATCTTTGGTTACAAGCAAAGGTTATTTGATTTAGTTTTCATTTTTAAGATGAGTGGATGTTTTGTTTTCTGTTGCATTTTGGCACCCTCTTCTTCAAGCGCCCCATCACAGGGGGGTTTCTTTTTATAAATTCCCCCTCTTAGATGCTACACTGTCTCTGTCTCTCTCTACAAGAACTGTAAAGCACCCTAAACATGAAACCCTCAACATGAAGCTGTTATTCCCATCCCGAAGTGTGATTTGGGTTTTCGTGCATTAATAGTAAACTGAAGCAAACAGCCCCTGGAAGCTGAAGCCGGCCTGGAGAGAGGCCCCAGGGAATAATTTTTCTGACAAAATTAAACGGGCACTTACCAAAGATGACGATGACGAGCAAGATGGGAAGGCCAATCAGAAAGTACAGAGGGGAAGCAACTGATTCCTTCTCGACATCGAGCTCCAAGTTTCCCAGTTTGACCTAATGGAACAAGGAGAGTCATCAGACCCAATGGAGTTTGGTACCAATTTTCTCCCCCCACGTGGTTTCCCCCAAGATACAGAAAGAGATGGAAGCTAAGTGAGATATCTGAGTTCAAGTCCCATTCTGGAACAGATTAGCTCTGTGACCTTGAGCCAATGAAGAACATTCTCTGTGCCTTGGTTTCTAGATATATCATTTGAGGTGTCCTAGGTTAGACCTGGAGATTTTAGATCTGCAGATACCAAGGAAGCCAAAAGCATCGTGTCAACTAAGCCCACTCTACCTTAAGGAGCATAAACAATCTCTACAAACAAAGTGAAGGGCGGGGAGAGGTGAGATCACAGGTCCTTTTTGCGCTGGGGGTTTAAAGAGGTGAAAACTTGAAGGTGAGAAGCCCCTTACCCTTTGACCAAGGAAACAACAGACTTTCATATTTTCTACATCTTTCATTTTCTGGTCAGGCCTATTTTTTTTTAAAATATATTTTTATTGATTTTTTACAGAGAGGAAGGGAGAGAGATAGATAGTTAGAAACATCGATGGGAGAGAAACATCGATCAGCTGCCTCCTGCACATCTCCCACTGGGGATGTGCCCGCAACCCAGGTACATGCCCTTGACCGGAATCGAACCTGGGACCTTTCAGTTCGCAGGCCGACGCTCTATCCACTGAGCCAAACCGGTTTCGGCATGGTCAGGCCTATTTTAAATGAAGCAAAACCCAGTTTGGCAATTCTTCCTAGATGATCCCTGAGGGCTTTTACCAATTTTAGTTTTTGGTTATAAAAATTCTGTACAACTTTTAGAGGAAAAAACTCACTATCAAGCCTTAGTTTTGCATCAACACACACACACACACACACACACACACACACACACACACACACACATATTCAGGCACATTTCCACCCCTGGAGCCAGGGCAGTCCCTCTGGAAGCATCTGAGCAAAGTGCCAGAGCACAGATTCTGGACCCCAAAAGAGAGCCCAGGTCCTAAGACCCAGCCTTGCCCCCTGCTCTCCTTACCAGCTGCAGGAGCGTGAAATAGTTATCAACCATCCCATCCTCACGTTCTTCGTCTTTAAACTATAGCATCGTCATGGCTACCTGTGCTCTATAATTTAAGTAAGTCAGCTCATGGCACTCCTGCTTAAAGCCCTTTAGTGTCAGCTCTCTTGGCTCCCACCATTCACTCTCCAGCTCCCTCAGAACATTCCCCTTGCTCCCTCCACTCTAGCCCCACTGGCCTTCTTGTTCCTCCTCAAATGCACCAGGCAGGCTTCCGACTCAGGGCCTTTTGCAACCTCTCGCTCCCTTCATCTTGCTCACTCTACTGCAGGTAGCCCACGGCTCATTCCTCTCCTTCTTGAGCTCCTTACTCAAATGGCATCTTTATAGGGAGAACTTTTCTTCCCACCATCAAGAACTGAAGGCACTGCCCTCATGTTCCTAGTCCCCTCCCTGCTTCATCTTTCTCCATAATAATTACCAGCATCTAACACTTTTTAAAAAATATTTTAAATTGAGGAAGGAGGGAAGAGGAAGGAGGGAAGAAGAAGGAGGAGGAGGAGGAGGAGGAGGAGGTAAAAAAATATTTTAAATTGAGGAAGGAAGGAAGAGGAAGGAGGGAAGAAGAAGAAGGAGGAGGAGGAGGAGGAGGAGGAAAGAAGAGAATCAAACCCACAACCCAGGTATGTGCCCTGACCTTTTGGTGTACGGGACGACACTCAACCACCCGGCCAGGCCATCTAACACAATTTTCTTTTCTTTGCTCTGTATCTCTTTAGGTAACCTCCATAAAGGAGAGTGCTTTTGTCTCGTCTCCTCTGCTGTCCACAGCACAGTGTGGCACTCAGGAACTATTTCATGAATAATGGAGAATGCTAGCATTTGCTCTTCTCAGCTAACTGGACATAGGGGAGCACTAGTGAGTTTAGCAGTTGTTATTGATTTGATGACGATTATTACCATCGTTACATCCAACAGATGACAAAGGGAGGCCCGGCGAAGCTAAGTGACTCATCTAAGGCCACACGGCTATTAGCTGGTGCAGCTGGGACATGAACATATTTTTGTTTTGCCTTCCAGTCTGAAGTTCTTTTTTTCCTGTCCTTTATCCAATTATTTATGACTATAGGTCATAAAGCATTTTTTTCCTGTTATAGACTGTGCAGAGCCTCATATGGCATAAACACTATAAAGGGAGACTTCTAATATGTTTCCCTTCCCCATGGCCTCACATCTTTATTGGGGGACATAAATATACCAGGGATGGGGCCCTCAAACATGGCTGGGAAAAGATTAATCACAGCGAGTATGACTTCATGGTGGAGGAAGCAGCCACCACCCAGAGAGGATCTGGCCTCCATGAGACCTGAATGCTCCTCTGAGTGGGCTAGAGAGGCCCCCACTCTGGGGTTCTGCTGAGACTGTCATCTCTGCATTTGGGAAAAGAATGACAGCTCATCCGTCAAGGGGTGTGGAGATTCTGTTTGCAGATGCTACAGTCTCAACGTATGGCTAGAACAAAAGCTATCAAGACTCATTAGCAGTGTAGACAATGGTGTGTTCACCGCTCCGACATTCAAATAGGCGCGGGGAAGAGTTCTGGCAGCTATTTCGGAGGGATTATGCCGGGGCTTGCAATACCAGCTTTGTTCATCTTCTATTTAAAGTGAAGATCTGAAGAATCAAGAAAGATTCCATTCTGGTTCAGCCAAGGAGTTCCCCCAAATAAGGCAGCATGCAGGGCGGTCAGGTGACCTACGTGAACTTTCTTGGACGAGGAGGCAATGCTGCTTGCAGCTCTGATGCCTTTAATTTTGCAGAGGATGGTGGTGAGATCTTGATTTCGAGTAATGTTTTCAAAGCTGCAATTTAACTGCTTATTTTCCCCATGGAAGAGAGTAATTTCAATGTCTTTCTTGGAAATGTTGAAGTTGTCATTTTCTTTCTGTGAAGAACAAAGCGAAGATGAAGAAATCAGGGTGAATGTGGAAACTCACAAACACAGCACACCTTTCTAGTTGAGGGGGGCACAGCCCACACGGAACAAGAGAAACATACCAGAATTTTTACTTCCAATTCTGTGTCCACCTCGGGGTCAACCCGATACCCTGTAAACCTGGGGTCCTCGAGGTACTGCAAGCTTCCACAATCCAAGTAGGTCTCCTGAACTTTCAGCTTCACAGTCACATTTGTACGCACTTTTGAACTCTTTAAACTGGGTGCTAAGAAACTGCAGTAAGTCGCCACGCACTGTTCAGAGACCTGAGGGAGAAGCAAAGGGCATTTCACAACGTTGTCAATGGGAACCAGCTCTGGGATTTAAGAACCAAGTGACCCAGGCAACTGAACTTCTTTGCTTGTTTTCTCATCTGCCAAATGGGACAGCAATACCACCTACCTTGCAGGGCTGAATTAACCCTACATCAAAGTAAGTGAGATGAGGGGTCATTAAGTTAAATGAGGGCTACGTTACATGAGATTATCCACACAAAAACGCTTAGAATAGTGCCTAGCTATTGTTATTATTAATACTGATGACAATGAAAGCAGCCAGGGGATGCTGTGGGGGAAAAACTGGTACGCAGAGAGAAGTAGGCTTGAGAAAGCAGAAGGCTTGGCACCAGTGGGCCTGTGTGTCCTTTGCTTGGGTCCTGGGAAACCCCCGGAAAGAGGACAGGAACCCCCGTGAGGCCCAAGCTGGCTGAGCCATGTCGGGAACCTCCTGCAGCTCCAGCAGAAACCACTAACCACAGGGAAGAAAGGCTCTGCAGGCCCGACGGAAAATAGGGGAACACAAGCTACAGGGACAATGCATTCCCCTGGGAAGAAGAGCACGAAGCTGGAAACAATGCAGAACGGGTGCCCCACTTCACAGGTTTATGTATAAAAACTAACACATAAATATTGGCATTTTCAGGCGCAGAGAGAGGGGCAGAGGAAGCTGCTGGGAAAGAGAGGCTGACGAATGTTTTACAGAAGAGCAATAAGATGTGTGGAAAGGAATTAGTCAGATGGGGGGGGGGGGGGGCAGTTTCCTCTTTTTATTTACTCTCTAATACTGGCATATACCAAGGAGGCAGGAAGAGGCCAGAGGTGGGAAAATCTGATGCAAAGGGCTGAGATGCGGACAAGCAAAAGCTCCTTCTCCCTTCACACCTTTCCAACGCGGGCTCCGGCTCACATTCTGGCGCGGCGGTAAAAACCACCGACCTGCTGCCCTGCCTACGCAGCAGCTGCAACCCCAGCAGGCCGGCTTCCTATTAGAGGTGTCTTCTAGGAAGATGATCGGTGATGGGGCCACCCTAACCTCATTATCCTCAACTCTCTCAATTTCCATACCAGTTATCAGCTGCCACTATCAAAAATGCTTTTTTTTTTTTTTTAGTTTCCAAGCAACTGCTTGGCCAACCTCATTGGCCATCTTATTTGCTTTCACTCCTAAAATGGAGCTACTCTGCAAGGTTCCACCCCAGGTGCTCTTCTTTGCTTCTTCCGCGCGCTCACTCCCACGATGCTGTGCCCATTCCCCCTCTCACGGCAGCTTTGCGAAGAGGACAACCATCTCCAGCTCCTCACTCGGCCCGGCAGTCCGGACTTGCCCCCTTGAGAACAGCCCAATGGACAGCGGAGTCACCGGACCCGGTCACGTCTCAAACACACCTGCACTTAGCATGAGCACTCTCATCGGTCTCCTGGCCTTTTGTCCGTCACCGCCTCTCCCACGCACCATTGCCAACATGATCATAAAGGCACCTATACTTACGCCACTCCCTGCTCAACGACCTCCAATTCTCCCCCTGCCTCAAGAATTGAGGGCAAAATCTGTCTGACAGCGAGGCAGCTCTCCAGCCAGCCCTCTCGCTCATTCCCAACCCGCCCTCTGGGTGCCAGCTGACACATTCCCACCACAGGCCTGGGAGTGACCTGTCCTCGTCCTCTGCACCTGAACTGGCCTTCCGGTCCCCACCTATCCAGTCCTACCCAGCCTGCTCCACTCGCAGACATTCTTAACCCCTCCCCACTTAATCCCCCTCACGTGGAAACACATAGCCCTCTTGGACTTATGGGGTTTCTGAGCGGGTCGGGAAGCAGAGGCCTAGAATTTGAGGACACCCCATGCTTTCAATGTCAATGCCAGTGGGGATCGGCTATTTCCCTCCATGAAGGCAACGTGACCATCTTATTTATTTTTTCCCCTGCACCCATCAAAATGTTTTGCCCACAGTAGATGCACAATTAGTTCTACTTGATCTAGGAACAGCGCTGGGAGGGAGAGCAAGTCCACTCACACATTCAGGCCATGCCTCTGGTCAGAGGGTCAATCTATGCAAACAACTCAATGGGATGTGATCACATCATGGGGACATGGTCTGGAATCAGATACCACGTGAGGCTTGGAACTGGCTCTGAAGTACGTCAGCAGGCGGTCATGTGTGTGACAAGGCCGTAAGGATGACTTAGGAAGGCCTCCTGTAGCCTGAACCCACACTGGGGCCAGGCTTGTGAGCGCTCACGTGGTCAGGAAGTGGTTAGGCTGGGCCCCAGCAAGGCTGCAGCTGTTGCATTTCATTAAAGCGGGACAAAAAGGGAAGAGAGGGTGAGGAGAGCATGCGGGAGGAGTTTAGACCTGCACTCAGAAACCCCAACCTGTATCTGAAACCCATCATTTCTTGTGATGAGGCCCATGTGTGATTTCTGTTGGTGTAAGAACTGAGTGAAGGGTAGACACCAGACCGCTGTGTGGAGAGATGAAAGGCAAGAGGAAGCGAGGTCAGAAGGAAGGGACCAGGTCGGGTCAAAGAGACAATGGCAAGAGAAGAAGCCTGTGATATGACCTCTGAGACTTTAGAGGTCACTGACCCGCTGAACCACAGCTCTCGGTGAGATGGAACACCCCCTGCTCGCCACAGGAATGCCATTTTTCTTTACATCACGCCTTCACCACTCACACAGCGTTTTCACACATATCATAAACATTGCCTCATTAGTGACTCGCCACAAATCATACACGGAGGAAATGGCAGGTCCTGTCATACCAAGTTCTTTCCTTTCCTCTGTGCCTCAGCTTGAAATACTCAACACAGGTATAAGGTCTTATTATTTCCGTTACAGCACAGATGGTATATATCATACAACAGGTACGAGCATATAATGTCACAAGGCACAGAAATAAACCATATCCCCCAACATATTTTGGTGTTATAACAAAATCATCCTTGAAAATAACTATTACAAAGCAGCCGAAGACTTACGTTTATGTTTCCTTTTAGCTCATGTGAAATGATTAAGTTGTCAATTACATCAAAATTTCTGCCCATGATGGTTATATTTTGACCACCACTGCAAGAAACAAAGCAACAATAAGAGTTTCATAGTAAACAGGCCTTTGCATTTGTGAACAAAGCTACCAATTTATTCACACTTACCATGAAACTCAGGTTTGAGAGCAAATTAACAAATCTTAATTTCAAATGCAGGACACATTTTAGAAGTCTTTTTAATGATACTGGCTACAAAATCATAATTTTTAAGATACATACATATAAAAAATCATGTCAGATCCTATTATAATTTGTAGGAAATGCCCAAATCCTTTCATGGAATTTTGAGTTTGTTGTGTCATGTTGCCACATATAATCAGATCATCAGCTGTATCTTGCAAAGGTTTCACTGAACAGAATGTTGTTTGATTGCTGCTTAATCTATATGAAGATTCTTCAGTCTAACAATTTTCAAAATCAAACTCCCTACCTACCAATTATATTTATTTAGGGAGACAGAAAACACTTTGGACAAGGTAAAATTATAAGTGACAGCAAACCATATAAATAACAGCTACGTTCTATCTCTCCAAAACCAAGCCTAATGAGTTCATATATTCTTAGCACATAATCGCATATAAGCAAAGTGGTCATTAGATGTGAAATAAACAGCTGTTCACAGCTCTGGCTGCCCTCACACCCTCGTTCATGTAGGTCACTAGACACTCATTCCAGGGGACAGGAGCCTGGTATGTCAGCTGGGCCCATGACGACAAGACCAGGACGTGGGCACGAGCAGGCTAATTTGTGTAGGGCAGAAGAAAGACATCGAGCCCCGAACCTTCCCGCCACAGGAGAAAGGGCCCAGCTGGCCTCATGCCAGCCTGTCGCCATTACTAGAAACCAAGCCAAGCGTGGCCCATGGCGGGACCCCAGAGCCATGTTCTTGCCCAGGAGTCACCGAGAGACACAGGCTCAGAATGTCATAGGTGACTGGACAGCAAGAAGCCTCTTATTTTATGGCAAAGCAGAACACTGGTGTCTTAGAGCACAGCACCCCGGGAGCCTGGGCAAGTCATTTGAACACTCCATGCCTCAGTTTCCTCATCTGCAAAAGGGGCCACTCAGAGTAGAGCCTTTCTGCCTGTGAGCATTAACTGAGTCAGTAGCTATTCCACAGCAGGCATGTGGGGAGTGTCACGTCAATGTGCGCTTTTATTCATAGGAAGGAATTAGACCCAGAGCAGGGACTGTCATGCTTGGGCCTTGGTTTGGAAATGTCAGTTTTCCTCACGCCACTGTTATGGGTGGAACTACTGAAGTCCTAATCCCTAGTACCTCAGAATGTGACTACTTTTGGAGATAGGGTCTTTAAATAGGTCATTAAGGTTAAAGGAGGCCATTGGGGTAGGCCCAAATCCAGTATGACTAGTGTTCTTATAAAAAGAGGAGGTTAGGACACAGACAGGCACAGGGGGAAGACCATGTGAGGACACAGGGAGGAGAAGGCCATTTATGAGCCACGTAGAGAGGCCTCAGAAGAAACCAACCCCGACAGCACCTTGATCTTGGACGACCAGCCTCCAGAAGTTTGATGACATAAATATCTGTTATTGAAGCCACCCAGTTTGTGGTACTTTGCTATGGAAGCCCTAGCAGCCGAGTGTGTCCACCTCTCGCTTAATCTTAAATAAGAATATTCAAAGTGATTTTCTTTTTTCTTTTTAAAGCTGCATCTGTAGTTTCACCTCCTAGACAGTACTTTGAAAATAAGCTTCATGCTGTGTTAGGTGAAGAAACTATTTTAGGGTTATTTTCCAAAATCTGAATGTGAATTTAAATTCAACTAGGGAAATAATCTTTTTCTTTGGACTCATCTGGAAAGGTTTATTTCAGAATTTCCATCTCTCATTTAGGGAAAAATCCTTGAAATTAGATACTGCTTTTGATTTAGACAGTTCCCAATACTTCCTCCAATTATTCAAAACAGCTTATTCTAAGGTTTTCAAACAAAGGATGTAAGAAGGAAAAAGCTTTGTGTCATGGTAGAAGTGAGACAGAGTGAAGAGGGTTACGTGTCTGTAGCAGGTGACTCCTATATGAAATTGAGTGAAACTCATGAACTTCATGCACCTGACCTTTTTAACCACCACGAGAGAAAAATCTGACTCTAGAAAATACCTGATCCAGGTGGTAGCAGGATAGATGAGGGAACAGCGCGGCAGAGCGATGTAAGACAAGGACCCCACGGAAGAACAGTTCCCGCCGTCGAACTGGATACACACATCCTTCATCTCTTTCCGGCTTGATGGCAGGGAGAATTTCATGTGGGTGTCATTTAGCACGTGGCTCACCCGTACTCTAGGAAGGGGTAGAAACAGAACTCATATGAAACAGACAGCCCAGCTGCTTACCAACAACAGTTCATGACCAGCAGACAATTGCTGACTAATCAGGGCCACTTGTCCTGTTGGGGTATTATCCCAGGCAGGGTTCCTCTTTCTTTTGTGAATGATTTGTTTTGTGAATCCTCACCTGAGGATATTTTTCCATTGCTTTTTCAGAGACAGTGGAAGGGACGGAAGTGTGTGTGTGTGGGGGGGGAGGCAGAGGGAGAGAGAGAGAGGGAGAGAGAGGGAGAGAGAGAGAGAGAGAGAGAGAGAGAGAGAGAGAGAGAGAGAGAAACACCAATGTGAGAGAGACACACTGATTGGTTGCCTCCTGCATATGCCTCGACAGTGGGGGCGTGGGGAGGGAAGGGAGCAAACCTGCAACTAAGGTATGTGCCCTTGACCAGGAATTGAACCTGCAGCCCTTTGATGCACAGGCTGACACTTTAACCACTGAGCAACGCTGGCCAGGGCTCTTTATTCATTTTTATGTTTCTATTTGCATTTTTCTTGGAAGTGAGGGAAGAAGCAGCCAATAGAAAGTGGAACATGGACTGGGTATTAAGTTATATTAAGGAATTACTGTTAATTTTGTTGAGTACAATCATGGCACTATCCTTATCTGTTAGAGATACATACTGAAGTATTTATGAGTGAAAGGATATGGTGTCTGGGATATGCTTCGAAAAACTCTGACTGCAATTCTTCCTTTCTCTCCAAAAAATGTGGAGGAGATGGATGAAACAAGATTGGCAAATGTTGGTAAGTTCTGAAGCTGGCGGATGGGTACAGAGGTTCATACACTCTTCTCTCTTGTGTATGTTTGGAAATGTCCATAATGAAAAGCTTAAAAAAAAAGAGAAGTTCCAGTTGAGCTCCGAGAGGGTAGAACCCAACCCCGGGCAGAGGGGGGAATTCTGCTGTACGAAGAGCACTGAGCCCAGGACTGAAGTCCACACGGAGGCCCAGGGGCACAGAATCCATCAGCCATCGGAGCCAAGCTGCCTAGCAACTTGCTCCAGACTGGAAATGAGCTGGGACTCCCCCGGTGCGCCTGACACCTGCAGGGTGTGCCCTTGCCACCCTTCAGGAGTCAAAGCAGAGCCTTCTACAACATGCCCCCTGGAACCTGCAGCCTCCTCGGTGCATCGTGTCTGCAGTAGGCATCTAGGCACTATCATTAGGACTGGGTTGTGTCTGGACAGTACTCAGTGTAATTATGCTACAGGAGAATTTATTATTACAAAGGACATGTGCATGATAATTAACTTTCACACACAAACCCTTTAACTTGTAATAATAGATTCAAACAGTAAGGCAAAATCAAAAAGCACACGGGTCAGTTTGTACTTACGCCTCCTCAGATTTTCATTCTAGCTCTTGGAAACTCTTCACAAAATAACTGGTAATTGAAATTCAAACTTGTTTATAAATTTTAGAAGGAAAGAGGCGGAAATGTGGGTCATTCCACTACCATTCTCCTATTTTTTCTCTTTTAGAGTAATTAGGCTTTAAAAAATACTATATTGAAAGAGTTTGGGATTACAGCACGAATTCAGCTGCAGGATTAACTGGGCATTATGTTTACTGCTCGTGAACTTGGGTTCACCACACAAATGTGGTTAGCGAAATGCTACATGCAGAAAGGTCTCTTACTCATTGAATTTAATAACTGCAGTATCTCAAGACACATTCGGAATTGAAATGAGAGCATAAAGAGTCCGGAACAGGGTGAAGCTCTGAAAAACGACTTACTTCCCAGGGAACACACAGGTGTCTAACTTCAGATTTCGTTATACAAAATGACAGGCTTTTGCAAGAAGGTGTTTAGCCAGGATAAATGGCACAATGTGAGCTGGATAATTCTGGTAAGTAGCAGAACAGAGGAAAGCCATCGGTGAGCAGCTTTCCCCAGAAGGTGACAGACATCCCAAATTTACTACTAGGAGGGGAAGGGGATGGCAGCTATATGTGGCAAATGAATTAAAACAGAAAATCAGTAAATAAGTGTGGCAGATTGAAACGCTGTACAAATCTGTTTTAGTAGTTAAAAACCAAAACACCACGCTTCAGCAGATTGCCGTCAATGCATTCCCATGACGGGGACAAGCTCAGTATTATACTTCATGTAGATGGCAACGTCTTATTTCAAATTAGCCCAGATTTATAAAAGCTAACAAGCACAAAACTCAAATTATCTATCATGCTATTATCACATATCTTTTTTTTGGGCGGGGAGGGGTGGTAGCATTGGTACAACACTGTCAGTGAGACAGTGAAATGTTTTCTCTCAAAAGTTTCTTTGAAAGGATGAATTAGGAGAAAAGAAGTCATAGAAATAATGATGTCAAGTGGTACACTGACCAGTTATTTTTTGGGTTGGGGTATTTGTTTCTTCTTTTTTTAAATACTAAATTATATTCTATTTAGTTATTATTTGGGCCTGAAATTAATCCAATAAAAAGAAGGCTATAAAGAATAAAATGGATCAGAAAATTTCTTCTTTTAACTTTGGGCCATCTACTGAAGAGTTGCTATTATTTTCCCATCAAAATCGGAGGTACTCGCTCAGTTGGTATGGCTCAGTAGTTGAGCATTGACCCTGAACCAGGAGATCACGGTTCGATTCCGGGTCAGGGCACATTCCCAGGTTTTAAGCTCAATCCCGAGTAGGGGGCATACAGGAGGCAGCCAATCAATGATTCTCTCTCATCATTGATGTTTCTATCTCTCTCTCTCCCTTCCTCTCTGAAATCAATAAAAATACATTTTAAAAATATATGAGGTACTTGACTGTTTTTTTTCTAAGTGGATCATCTTCAAAATGATATTTGATATTCAAAATACTTGGTTTTGTTTAATGAAAACAAATCAAGACCCAAAACAGACAACATCCTGAAACTGTTGTGTACTGAGATTTTTGGGGGTAATGTGAGACAGATTCTTTCACAATTAACTTCAAATGTAGTATATAAATGATTTTACTATTAAAAATGTATTATATCAAATATTCAGAGTAATTGGTCCACTCTGGCACATGGAAATAATTTGACTACATAATGATTATATTTGGCATAAGTTTTAGCGTTTCACCACATTATTGAGAAAAAATTACTAATATTTGAACTCACACATCCTTATCACAAGTACTGGTTCCTTTCAGGATCATGACGATGTTATCAGACGCCCGCGTGAAGTTTGCTCCTGTGACTATCACGTTACTTTTCCCTAAGGTTGATATTTTCTGTGGCTCAATGGACTTAACAGAGAAGACCTATTGGAAATAAAAGATTAAAACACAAGATCAAAGCTAAGAAATGGCATTGCTCCAAAAAAAATCTGTTTATGCGCTGCAGTTCGAAGAAATCACTGGGAAATTACAACATTTTGCAAACACAAGCAGACAGTGTTTAATGAAATCAATGAATTCAAGGAAGAGCGCTGAAGATTCATGTCTCTCAACACGCGACAGCATGAGGTCAAACCAATTAGTCTTTGTCTCACAAGACAGTTGAAAATATAGTTGAAGAGCCTGACATTCTGTCTGAAGAGTGAAATAGCATGAGAGTCTCAAAAATGCTAGCCGCCGTCCAGCCCCTGGAGGCTCACAATGTAACAAAATGAAGAAAGAGACAAGGAGTCCACTGCTCATGGGCCAACGACAGACTCATCATTAGTTAGAATAAATGTCATTTTGGATAACTTTAATTCCCAAGGAAGCCGTTCCTGTTTTGTTTTGTGTGTGTGTTTTTTTTTTTTTTTCAGATAGGCTATTTGAATCAAGGAGTATATTGTAGGGAGAAACCTGGTCAGTCACCTAATATCAAGTAGTTGGTTGCCTAACCCATGTGGCCAACCATTGCTTCTCCACAGTTTTCAGATGCCACCATTTCCTCCGTGGTACCCATTGCAAGCTTTATCAGGCCTTTCTTCATCAAGTAAGTTTCCCTTGGAAACCTGATACCTGGCCCTATATTATGCACCTTACTTCTTCATTTTCAACGTCTAATCAAATTCCCTTAAAAAAAAAAAAAGCCCTAGCTGGTTTGGCTCAGTGAATAGAGTGAAGGGTTCAATTGCGGGTTCCATCCCCATTAGGGGGCATGCAGAAGGCAGCCGACCAATGATTCTCTCTTACCATTGATGTTTCTATCTCTCTCTCCCTCTCCCTTCCTCTCTGAAATCAATAAAAATATATTAAAAAATAAATTTAAAAAAGACCTTTTTGATGGCAAGAATCATTTTCCTTTTCAAAGCTAAAACAATCCTGATTTCTTACTTTTCTCCTATAGATGCTGCCACCTATCATTGTGGTGCTTCTGTAGAGCATTACCGGCAAGTCTGTATTCTCCTATAAGTACCGCGCGCTAACCGATTGTGCCACTGGAGCTCCTGTATTCTCCTATAATGTGGTGACTAAAACTGGACAGAAGGTTCTAAGATTCTGGCCAATATAAAGTACAACAGATCTTTAGCGTGAGTGACTCACACTCTTGATATCTGAAAACAAACTGTAGGTCCAGAAATGCATAATCATGTAGAATTTGGTCAAGGCCTAAACACCGAGTGTATCCACTTGGAGGATGAAGTTTAGGAGGAAGGCTTTCCTTTGCTGGGAAAGGTTCAGTCACATCCAATACCTGCCTATCATCTGCTTCTTGAAGCAGCGTAGTATTCTCGGCTCCTTTGTGTGTGTGACACTCACCAGGATGGCCTTGCTGGGCTGCTGGGCCCGCCCATCCCACTGAAAGGGGTGCTTGATCATTCTGCCGCTTGGCAAACACAGGTGCTATATGGTAGAGCCATCACCATCACTCATCATCACTATGGATTGGTTTTTCCGATTGAGGTAAATCCATCGTTAATGTCATTACAGCAATGATGTAATGTGACAGAGAATTGATTTCCGTGGCAGAGTTTATTTTAATCGCCTGGTAAAGGACTTTAGCCCCATATTTATAGAATCATGGAGGGCCTGAAAGGGTCACTTTAATTATTCTGTTATACTTGAGTGCATTTTATGGGGGAAATTATCTGCAAGAGTGGTCCTTGGAATGGAGGGATTAGCAGAGACTTAAAGATAAATCCCTTGCAAATGTCAAGTGTGTGTTGTATAGCAAAAGGCTTACTCTTTGCTCTGACATTGTGACAGCTAAGTGAAGAAGTATTTACCAAACACCTGCAGCGTCCCTAGAATAGCGCTAGGTGCTGTGGGGGCACATAATGTGTGTACTAGGTCAGGAGCTGGCAAACTACTGGATTTGTCTGTAGCAGCCAAATCCACCCTATGGCTTGTTTCTTTATGGCCCATGAAAATTTGTCAAAAAGAAATAGTAATAATACATGACATGTGACAATACATGAAATTGAAATTTCAGTGTCCATAAAGAAAGTGTTTTTGGAACATAGGCACACCCACTCATTTGTGCACTTTCTTTTTGCCTGTGTTTTTCCATTGGTTTTTAGAAAGTGGAAGGCAGGGAGGGAGGGGGAGGAAGAGAGAGAGAGAGACATATTGGTTGCCTACCACACAGGGGCTAGGATCAAACTTGCAACCCAGGTACGTGCCTTTGACTGGTAATTGAACTCACAATCTTTCGGGCTGGCACTCTAACCACCAAATCACACTGGCCAGGGCATCTGTGGCTACTTTCACACCACAGTGGCAGATTTTAAGTGTTACAATAGAGACCTCATAGCTCGCAAAGCCTAAAACATTTATTGTCTGGCTCTTTGTAGAAAAGTTTGCTGACTCCTACACTAGAGGAGTCCACTGTCTTCCTAGGGGGTCAAGAGAAACCGTGCATTTGTTTTGTTTTATGTGAACATCAATGTAGACTCATATTTATATCCAAGCCGAATACGATTCCCAGGTCCTTTCTGCTTCTTATATTTATACTGTTGATATCTATTCAAGCAAATGCTACTTCTCTACTCTGAGTAGAGGGTCAAAAGAGCCTTATAACGAATGTACACGAGGTTTTGGAGGGGTTTATATTTTGTTGCTTAAATGGCTCTACAAACACTATCAGAGGACCAGCCATGTCGCCTTCTTAACTTTTATCTCCCCCCCCCGCCCCCTGAGGAGAGACAGCCCTGCCACTTCAAAAGGATTTCATTTGAAACCCTTATTGTTTAGAGAAGTTTCCACTGGTGTCTAGGATGGAATCCAGCTCTGGACTATCTCATGAAAGCAGATGCCTCCACTCTGCTTTCAACGAGGGTCAGATTAGTTGTCCTTTGTTTGCTTGGAGAACCTCTCCTAATCTTAATAAGTGAGTCAAAGAGCTACCAAGAGGACCTCATTAAACCAACGGTGCAGGTACACACACACACACACACACACACACACACACACACACACACAGGTTAGGTAGCTACATGGCTGTGCTATACGACTGCAACAATTCTTAGAAATATAACATTTTCTATTTTTACTGATAAAGATTTTTAAAATCCAGTACAGACTGAAGGCAAGGAATGAGCTCCCCACAACTGTTCCACACACTTACTATTTTAGGTTGATTTTTGTATTTTAATCGAGAGTTAATTCACCATCTGACATGAAGTAGTGGGCCCCACAAGCTTATACATAGAAGGGTTTGGGTAACTTAAAAACGTAATCTAGCTTGAAACAAAGACAATTTCTACAGGGATATTCCTCCCCATCCTCTGTCCAAGGATTTCCACATATCAAATCAAAAAACCATAGAATGTAACCCTCACAGCCCTGTGGTGTCCAGCAATTAACCGCAGAGTAGCCTACTCCCTGTCAGTTACATTTGAAAGACTTAAGAGTCATTTTTAAATGGTTGCCCAACTTTAAATTATGTAATAAAATAGTATGAGCTCCGGTTGCTTAAATCACTCCACTCCCTGTTTTGTACAAGAAAGCACATCAGAAACGGGTTAACTAGGCGATTACAGAATACCCAAGTAGTTGTATTTTTTTAAAAAACAAAGTCGTTTAAGTTATTGGAAATAGAACACCACTAAGAAATAGTCATCTTTGAAAAGGTCTAAGAGGATTACTCCCGACAGAAAGAGTACCTTTTGTGAAGTCTGACGTCAACACAATTCAAACTGCCATGACATTAATGGAGAGGACACTGCTAGGATTGAAAAGAATATTGGAAAGAGGTACATTAGGAAGGCTCAGTTTATTAAGGCCAACTTGTTCTCTATTAATCTGTTAAAAAGAATCTGAATATAGCAAAGCTCTCTGTGGGCCTGGACCTGAATCAACATTCAGTAAAATGTCTCTCAGATTTTCACTCATGAAATTAGTTGAAACAGGACTGGATGAAAGTCACGTGGATTCAAACCCAGCTGGAAATCTGAAACCAAAGGACCTTAGAGAGATGAAAGGTAGCATAACTAATTAAAGGAAAGCCTCCTGTAGGGCTCTACAGGGGTGAGGATTTGGTTCAGAATTATTTAACGTCTTTATTAATGACTGAGCAGGGCAGAAGTAATATATTAATGAAATGTACAGATTGAGAAGAGTGGCAACCAGCAGTGGAGATGGTAAAGTGTAAAAGGAGGTGAGAGATGGAAAGAAAATACAATCCCACCAAAGAAAAATTAGAGAACTAAATGGATCAAAAAGGTTATCCATTTGCTGCTTGGGCCCCTGGTACAGACCTCAGAAACTTGAGATGTAACTTCCAGTTGGTCCTGGGAATGGGCAAGAGCTAGAATGCCGACTGAGGTAGACCTGCGACCTCCAGGGACAAGGTGATGGACCACAGCCCCTTGCTGAGAGATCAAGGCTCACTTCTCTGACCTGGGGACTCTAAGGTGAGGCTGCCATGGCCCAGGGTGGGGCTGCCAAGGCCACCCCATAAAGCTGCTACCCTTTGTCACTGAGCCTTCCTGGTGTGGCACCTCAGAACCACTGGCCGATTGGACTGGCCGACCAGGACTCCATGACCAGGGAGGGCAGCTCTCCCTCTCCAGCAGGGACCCCTGGTTGAGGATTGAACCCAGCCACTCAGGATCCACCCTTCTGCTGGGTTTCACTTTGGCATGAGACTCTTGCTGCTCCACTCTCCTAAGGGCCTCAGTTTCCCTTCTGTGTTAGAGAAGATGCCGGCTTTGCCTGGGTCTGACTCCATCACTCTGACACCCCAACCTACCCGTCTCCTCTGGAGGCTCGATACTAACACGCTCCTCTCACAGCCTGCCCAGGCTGGAGGTCTTTGTCCCACCCGTCTGCGGCACAGATGGGGCAGGCGTGGCAGCCAAATGCCAAGAGAAGCTAGTATTAGTTTCCTCCCTTCCAGGTTGATTATTATCATCAATACCACTCAGTTTACCATTTGTTTATTTTCATCTAAGGTCATACAATGTAGAGTAGTGGCCAAAACTGTGGGTTCTGCCATTAGACTGCCTTGGTTCAAGTCTCTTGCCTGTCGTTTACTTCCTGCTTACCCTCTGTAAAATGTCCTGGTCTATAAAACGGGCAAAATTGGTCCATCGTGAGGCTGACATAAAGAGATACTCGGGGCTGCGGATACAGCATAGGTTCCACTAGCATCAGCTATCATTACTCAGTGCAGTACGTTCTGGCATTCCTGCTTCCATCCTTTTCTCTTATGCACATTCACCTGTTGCCTGAAATGAATCTCACTTCCTCCAAAATATTGCAAGTTTTACAACGCAAGCTCCATGAGGGTGCACACTTTGCCTGCCTGTCTAGCACAAAGTAGGTGTTCAATAAACATATTTTGAACGCATGAGTGAATGAATGAACAATTGGCAGTGAATCCCACAGCACCCAGTACAGTGGTGAGCCCACAGGAGCTACTCAACAAGGTACATATTAAAGTTAATTTCACTTTCAAAGGCAAGGTCCTTATCGCCTATGAGAAATTAAAATGCATATTCAAAAGTGATGGAGGAAGAGAAAGAAAGGAATAGTTTGAATGTAAATTCCTCTAGAGGAGACATGGCTGTGTATGGTTTATTTCTACACTTTGGCGATAAGCCTACCATCAAGAACAACAAATATTAGAACAACATCATTATCACAGATCTTCACAACCTCCCTTGAGAACAGGAAAGAGAGCAGCCACTCTTCTCTCAGCAGGCAGAGGCACTAGATAGAAGACTGTTAAGAAAAGGAAGGAAAAGAGGGTGGGGCAGGGTGACAGGGCCAACCGTCTCTGAAAGCACTTCTCAGCCAAAGGTCAGACACTGGGTTTTGAGTCCGTTTCCCTATGTTGGCGATGCTTTTCCTGAATCCAGTCCCTGGTAAATGACAGCACTTATCCTTAGGTCAGAGTACAGGGTTGGGTCATAGGTCATGAATCTGTGCAAGGGCAACAGGCCCAAACTGGGATTGAACCAGAAACCCTATCTCCTAAGTATCATGTCCTGGGATGAGCAAATTCATATGCTAAAAAAAAAATAAGATCTCATGAATCAGCACTATGGGCATATAAGACTAAATTAAATCTCAGGAGCATTCTAATGCCTTTGAGGAACAGAGTGAAAACTCCTAGGCCTGGCTGGAAGGCCCTGTAGATGCAGGCTCCAGGGGCATTCCAGACCCATGTCCCATATTTTCCTGCAACCTTCTGCTCCAGCCAAATTGAATCACTTGGGGTTTCCTAGAAGGGGTACCCCAGAATTTTCTGGCACCCCCACTATGCCTTTGCTTATACTAGTCCCTCTGCTTAGAACACCCACTCCTTAGTCTCCATGCGTTTGGATGCTTCTTGTCTCTCAAAGGTCAGCTGAAATGCCATCTCTGTCAATCAATCTACCCATCAATCAAAGACTTAACGAACCGCACCCATGAAGTGTTTTTCACTGCCAGGCACTGGGTTTACATAAACAGGGATGACTAAGATAAGGCCTGAGGCACAGAGAAACTCTCTGGGTTTGTATACTTTCTGGTACTTTCCCCATCCATGTTAACATTTCCTATCTTGTACTCTTACTTATGTATTCAAGTATGAGATTCATGAGCCTGATGGCAAGAGAGGTCCCTGATTCATTCGTGTCCTCCTCATTGCATCCATGGAGCTCAGTAAAATGGCATCTAACAGGTGCTCCATAAATACCTGTAGGAAGAACCAACCCAAGCTCAGCATCATGAGCTTAAGACCGTGTCTGCAACAGTCACGTCGCATGTCCCCAGTGCCTGGCACCGTGCTGAGTGCTCAGTAGATGGGTGATGTGGGAGGATGCCTTGACGGAAAGCTCTCGATGGCTTTTCTGCTGGGAAGAGAGGGTTCAGGCCAACATGGGGACCCAAATCAGAAATCTGAATTTTCCCATTCCACACGATAGTGAAAGACAGCAGTGTTTCATGGAAAATGAGAAATTCTTCCTGTGACAAATAACTCTGTTCTCTATCAACCAAAACTGAGATTCTGTGCTGAGTCATATACTTAAAGACAACACATTTCAGTATCAACAAACTGCCTCTCCCCAAACTAAGAAGCACCCATGGAGAAGCACTGATGATGGGGCTGGGCTTTGTTTATCTTCAGCCTCCTCCTGCTCTCTAGTGAGCCCAGTAATTTTAACCATACAGCATCAAAGGTCAACATATACAGGAAGACAGTACAAGAAACCAGGAGTCAGTGACTTTAGTTTTTCCCCTTTAAAATAAAATAAATTTAAAAAGCCATTGCCTGGACATTACTCAACAATGAAAAGGACCAAACTATTGATACATAAAGGAACTCAGATAAATTTCCAGAGAATTACATTGAGTTAAAAATGCCTAGCCAAGAAGGGTACATCTGGGCGATTCCATTTATAATATGATAAAATCATAGAAACCGGGAAGAGATCAATGGTTGCCTGGGTCAGAGGTGGGGAGTGGGAGGGTGGAGGGAAATGCATATGGCTGTAGATGGGCAACACGGGGTGACAGGGCTGCTTTGTTGTCAATATCCTACCTGTGAGGTTGTGCTATAGTTTTGCAAGATGTTAGTTACTATTGGAGGAAACTGGGAAAAAGATATATGAGATCTCACTGTATTGTTTTCTTATAACTATATGTGAATCGACAATTATCTCCAAAAACAGTTGAATTATTTTTCTAAAACGATCTTGAAAAAGAACAAAGTTGAAGGATTCACACTTTCTGGTTTTAAAACTTATCACAAAGTTACAGTAACCAAAACAGTGTGTTATGGTTATAAAGCTAGACATATAGACCAATGGATTATATACAGAAATAAATCCTCACATATTTAGTCAAATTATTTTCAACAGGGAGGCAAGATTATTCAGTGGGAAACGAACAGTCTTTTCAACAAATGGTGCTGGGAAAACTGGATATCCACCTGCAAAAGAATGGAGCTGGGCCCTTTCCTTATACCATATACAAAAATTAACTCAAAATGGACCAAAGCATTAAGTCTAAGAATTAAAACTATAAAACTCATAAAAGAAAATGTGGAGGAAAAGTGTAATAAAACTGGATTTGGCAATGATTTCTTGGGTACAATATCCAAAGAACAGGCAACAAGATAAAAATCTGTAAACTGGACTTTATCATTACATTAAAAAATTCTGTGCAAAAGACATAGTCAGAAGAATGAAAAGGCAACCTACAGAATGTGAAAAAATATTTGCAAATCACATACCTGGTCGGGGATTGATATCTGGAATATATAACAAACTCCTACAACAACAAAAAACACAAACAACATACCAAAACGATGGAAGCAACCCAAATGCCCATCAACAGATGAATGGAGAAACAAAATGGGGTCTATCCACACAATAGAATATTATTCAGTCTTTAGAAGGAAAGAAATTCTAAACATGCTACAAAATGCATGAACTTTGAGGACACTATGTTAAGTGAAACAAGCCAGTCACAATAAGACAAATCTTGTATGATCCTACTTTTATAAGGTACCTAGGGTAATCTATCTCAGAGACAGAAAGTAGAATGGTGGTTGCCAGGGTCTGAGTAGAAGGCAAAATGGGGAGTTATTGTTTAATGTGTATAGAGTTTCAGTTTTGCAAGATGAAATGTGTTCTGGCAATGGATGGTGGTGATGGTTACACAAGAGTGTACACGTATAAAAGGATGGTAGAGATGGTAAATTTTATTCTATGTGTATTTCACCAAAATTTAAAAAACGGAAACAACAAAGAAAAGTTTAATTTTTTAAAAAAGTCACTGCCTCCTTGATCCCAGTTCCTGTAACTATGCCTTAGTTTTATAAATCAATGGGAAGAGAAAGGTCCCTCACTTAACAAGCCCATCAATTATTAAGACCTCAAAGACTTTTAAAGTCTGAAATATTGGCACACCAAGCTTTTGTAATGCTTTTAATTAACTTCATAATCCATTTTCATTCCCATTCCCATTGCCTGCTACTTAATTTACCTAAAGTTACTGTCAACTTTTCGGTAGTGATTAAAAATGTGCTACTTATTTATATTGGCACTTGACCTTAAAGAGCAGCAATTGGATAAATCAAAACCACAGATTAGTCTTGGAGTAGAAAACTGAGCCTTTAAAAAAAAAGTTGTTCTGTTTCCTCCTACTAGACCCCAAGGTTAATGAGAATAAGAACTTGCCCTTTTGTTTTTCACCACATAGTAGATGCTCAATTAACTTCTGTCCACTGAAGGAAGTCAGCACTTCTCTCTTCTCGAAGCACAGCCCCAGTGTCTGCCTGAAAATGCTTATATTGTCACCTCCTCTCTTTCAAATATGTCTATTAGTTGATTGGTGAATAAGAGGAATTTCCAATGAAATTTCATGGAGAATAACCATTTTTGAGAAGTGGAGAGAAAGGTAGATACATTATATAGAAATAACTCTTTGTTTTGGAGTTATTAACTACTGGTTAGATTGTCTCTACAAAGTAAAGAAAAGCAATTGGAATGTGTTTAGTGTGTCTACTTTGCATGCTCTCCCTTGCACATAATCCCCAGAAATGCGATCATAATATGTGGTTCGAACTGAAATCCCCTCAGTGCTGTGTGTTTTACTTCCTCCTAACTCTCCCCAAGTGAGCCACAAAGTCACCTTTAAAATTTTACTCCTCCCAGAACAACATTTTTCACAGTTACAGAATTTTAATTTCTTTTATGTGAATGTGCAGTCTTTGATGTACTGAGCCAATTAAATGAAACTTGGTTTAAAACCAAAGGTAAAAAAGGGAATTTTGGTATAAAGTAAAAAAGGGAATTTTTAAAAAAGGAACCCAAAGTGGTAGTTGTTATGGTCACTTAAAGGGGGATTTTCCCATTATCAACAGAAAAACAGAGCCTGACCTGCCTGCCCTGGTTGGTTCTGTTCATCTTATTCCCCTCGAACCCGCCTCCTCCTGCTGTCTTGGATGGTTCCGGCTTCTCAACAGCAACTTGACAAGGTTCCTGAAATGAAGCACATCCTTCAACATCCAAATAGGAGGGAAGTTCAGAGTTTAAAAGAAACACAAAAGACAGGTGGGGCGGTTACCAACATTTATTTTTGGTTAAACCTTGATATACCAAAAATGTCACTTTACCTGGTTTCTGTCGTAATCAGAAGGGCTGCAGGCCGTGAAGGGGTGGATACACTTTCTCTCACTTTTACACCAAGCACAGCCAGTTCCAATACACGCTGGGCATCTGGCCATACAGAAAACCAACTTAATTCCTACATTTTTAGGAAAATCTTCATAGCCTAGAATTTCCCTCTGTGATGTGGCATGGGAGGATTTACGTAAAAGAAGAAGAAAAAATCCCTAGACAGACTGATGAACCCCAGGGGAGAGCGGAGAGGGCAGTCTTCTGGGGCTGGGGCCAGAGCACTGACTTGGTGGACCTGCTCTGGGGGTCTTTGACTGATTGACTGTCTTCACACCCACAGGAGGGTTACCATGGAAACCTGAAGCTGGGTCACCGGCTGCACAGGTAGATAACAGGAACCCACTGAAGCTGTTTCTGAATCTACTTCTGCTATTTGTCTACCCTCAGGTAAATTCCCCTCTGGAGGCTGGTCTCCCCCTCCCACCCTCACCCTGCCTATCTCAGCAGTAACACCACCAACTGCCCAGAGGGAATGGGATGCCAGTGTTTGCTTTTTAATTAAATTGAGGAAGAATTGTGTCTACTAATCAAATAGCCTATCATGTATGGATAACAGCGGAGGGCCTGAAAAGCACTTACAGGATCATCAGAGTTGGAGAACAACAAATATACAAATAGAGGTTGTTCTGGAAACAGGAGGCCACAGGAAGGCCAGGTACAATGAGAGGACTAGCACAGGGAAAGGGAACACCATTCACATTTTGTATGTTCTTCAAGAAATGCCAAAGCAGCCCTGACCGGTTTGGCTCAGTGGATAAAGCATCGGCCTATGGGCTGAGGAGTCCCGGGTTCGATTCCAGGCAAGGGCATGTACCTTGGTTGTGGGCACATCCCCAGTAGGGGTGTGCAGGAGGCAGCTGATCGACGTTTCTCTCTCATTGATGTTTCTAACTCTCTATCCCTCTCCCTTCCTCTCTGAAAAAAATCAATAAAAATATATTAAAAAAAAAAAGAAATGCCAAAGCATTCTGAGATTCTGACCCATAGCAACTGCCATTTCAGTGGGAGAAGAAGACCCAGCTCAGTGTTTATCTGAGGGTGCGAGGGCAGGTCTGCGATTTGCATTCCTATCCTCCGCCCCAGGAGTGACTGCGGTACTCTGCTTCCCTCGGGGAAAGAGCATCGCCCTCTGGGAGCTGTGGGTCTGAGGTCTGGTTGTGAATCACTGGCTGTGGGAGATGAAGCAAGTCACTGCTTTGTCTGGCCTCCACGCAGGGGTGGAGAGCTGCTTTATGTTTCAGCTCCCTTTGAGCCATAAAATTCTATTTAACTCTCCCCCTTTTCTCCTATTTTCATGGACTTCTGAGGCTTTCTGTATTAAGTTTGGCTCTTTTCCGTCTAAATTCATTCTGTTTATTAGAGATAACTGAACTCAGCCCTGCAAGGGTAAAGATAAGTTCCTGGTGCTTCTGTCCTAATAGCTGTAGAGCGGCCTCCCAACTCAGCTTCAAGTTTGAATTCATTTTCCTCAAAGAAACAATGGTTCCCAGGCCGGGCCAAAGAAGCTCACATTTGGTACTCACATAGCTGGTCAATCAAACCACTGAATGAACTATAGAATCACTAATAATAGAGCTTCCCATTGTTTCCATGGGAACCTCCACCCCATCTTCCAACTGGAAAATCAGGAATCTGAGAAACAAATTTCCTCTGTCTCTCTGCTTTAGAAGCTAGGAGTGAGGCGTGGCTGGCCCTAACTCAGGGGATTGTGTAGCTCAACAGGGCCAAATGTGTTTTTTTTTAAAAAAGCAGCTCAGCCGTATAGCTCAGTGCTTGAGCTTTGACCCATGAAGCAAGAGGTCATGGGTTTGATTCCTGATCAGGGCACATGCCAGGGGTTGTGGGCTTGATCCCCAGTGGGGGATGTGTAGCAGGCAGCGGATCAATGTTTCTCTCTCATTGATGTTTCTATCTCTCTCCCTCTCCCTTCCTCTTTCTCTAAAAAATGAATAAAAACATATTTAAAAAAGAAAAAAAAGGTGGGGGCAGAATTAGCATTCTTTTTAAAATTAAATGTATTGGGGCGACATTGGTTAAGAGCATTATGTAAGTTTCGAGTGCACAGGTTTATGATAATCAACTGTATATTGCACTGTGTGCTCACCACCCGAAGTCTAGTTTCCCTCTGTCATCATCTATTTGACCCCCTTTATCCTACTTACCCTTTCCCACCCCCTTCCCTCTGGTAACCACCATACTGCTGTCTGTGTTTATGGGTTTAACATGTTCTCTGATGAAACAGACTCAATCTGCTCCTTCTCCTTGAGTGTGACTTCCCCTTATCTCACGCTCACACTCTCTCTGGACTCGAGTTCCCAAAGCCATTCTGATCAGGGGAGAAGCTGGCAGCACCCCTTCGACTGTACTTACTTCAAGGCCTCCTCTGGGTCCCTCTTGGCAGAAACCCTCCAGCACAGCTGTGTGCTCCTTAGCCGCCCCCTGGCTTAGGGCGGAACGAGCTCCCTCGCTAGCTCAGGGCCCTCCCAGCTCCCGTTAGGCCACGCTCCAAAAGGCACTTTGGAAAGTTCTCCTCCACAAAAGAGTTCTTTAGGAAGTTGAGGAGTAAAGCAAATAAATAAATTACAGCCAATGAGAGGATATTTAGATTTCAAATAAAATCTTACTCTCTTAATGACGAGCAGTTGGTAAAGTTGAATCTTTTTGATAAATGCCAAGAACCGAAGGAGAACGTCACGTCGACAACTAAAACATCTGGAGCAAAGGGGGAAAAGAAAGTCATTTACCGTGGAGTCCTGCTATCATCCAGCAAAGCTGTACATGCAAAACATAAATATTTTTGCCTCCTTTGCATAGGGGGGCGGGGGGTGCCAGCTGCTGGCTCACATTTCGATCAGTATGAGGTTCTTTCCCGTGGGCCATTCACGCCAGGCAGCCAGAGCGCACAGCACAAGCTCCAAACAGACCCGGGCCCACCTCGCGTGCAGGCCCCCCGTGGATAATCACTAGGAAAAAGCCATTTTCCAGCCCATTTACATCTCATATTCTCCCCGGGATCAGTATCTCAACTTGTAATTGGCCACGGCATCAGAATAAAACAAGTCACTGAGCAAGAAGTGCCTAGAACATGAGAATCAGAATGTGAGCGAGGAAAGCCTGCACCTTCAGAAAAGTCTGTACTACAATGTTTACCTAACAAACTCTAAAACCTGGCTCCCAGCGGCTGCCATGATCTTGGAGTCAACTGTTGCCAAATCTGAGATGCAGGCTTTCTTATCAAACGTTTGAAAACCTACCCATTGGTTAGAAAACGTCAAAAAAAAAAAAATAAAGTCAGGAAGATAAACGCTGTGCTAACGCTGCGTTAGAAAAAGGTCCTATTTCCTGTTCCTCTTTAATGTACAAGGTACCCGGTCCGAGATGCTTCCCCACCCAGCTGGCTGTCAGAATCACTTGAGAAACTGATGAAAATGCAGATTCCAGAGCCACACTCCTAGCTATTCTGACTGAGCGGGCCTGGGGTGTGGCTGGAATCTGTGGTTTGGAATGCTCCCCACATACTGATCATCTACAGTCAGGTTTGGGCGCCCTTCACATCCTGCTGGGACAGGGACCAGTGCTACTCGTTTGTTTCCACTGTCGCCCATTTTGGTATGAATATCTTCTTCCTTTGATAAATGAATGGGGAGAGTAGATGATATTTTTTTAAATGAAAGTCTTTACTTGACAGAATAAGAAGCTGGCCTAATTTTGTTGGCACCTCTAATTTTCTTACTGAAATTTTAGCAGTGTCTGGTTTTCAACAGTCTGAGAATCCTGACTGTCAGTGGCTTCTCTAGAGCAACCAAACTCATTCTGAAAGCCAGAGCGCCTCATAAAAGTCTGCGCACATAGAGCAGGCCTGTGCGAAATGGTGATCCTCTGTTCTGAGACAGGATGCTTGAGGGCTGGCTGGACCCCTCAGCAAGGGCACTTGAACAGACACTTGCTAAGTGTCAGGAGAACAAACACATGGACGTTCATCACTGAGGCACCCGGAGAAAATACATGTCCATGGAATCCACAAATGTCCAGTGATGAAGACCCCAAAAGTCATACTCTTCCGAGTATCAACTGTGCACAAATCACAATTGGGGATATCACAGGGAAATAAAGCATTTGCAGTTATTCTGGAGAGATAAAATAGCTCAGGGGAAAAACACAACAATGACAGTCAAGGAAACACCCTGAGTGTTCTGAGGTCCATTAGCACCTGTGAGAGAGCACGGGGTACTAGAGTGACCGGGACAGTGAGAGCAGAATCCAGCAAAGCTGTTTGGAACACTTTCTCCCCAATGTTTCAAAGCAGAAGAGCAACAGGATTTGGTGAGAAGGGTGAGGTTACTCTAGGCCATGGACAAGGGTTTGAATGGTCATTGGCTAGCTGAGTGCAAGAGGTAGGAAGTGAGTTTGCTTGCTCAGAATATGCAAGGCATTCAAAAAAAGGGCAGGCAAAGGGTTGAGTGCAATTGATGGAGGCTCTAAAAGCAACCAGCAACTTTACAAGGTACTGTCAAAAACTTCAGAAGCATATTTTATAGGTGAGCAAGATCTGCATTTTAATACACAAAATTAACTAGAAGGACATCACCAAGGCTGTATAGTATGGGCAAAGAAGTGTGGAATACTGAAATAGTTTTTCAAGCAATTCAGACACAAATAGTCACCATGAGCCCAGTAGCTGAGAGGCACTTTTTAAGCTTGGCGCTCTGGCCGGTGCATTTGATTCCCTTTTGAGGGGTTTAGGATTAATTAGGCAGCACCAGCTCTCACCACGAGCATCAGCTCCATTATGACCTCACCCCTTCTAGGAAGACTGCACCAGAAACTTGCTCTACTTAGCATATGTTCCAAGGGACCTGGCGTATATGGCATACTATTCTTAATATGTTTGCTCCCCTTCTTAGCGCTATGTGTTCTAACCAGGGCCACCTCCCCAAGAAAGGTTGTTTCCCCAGGTGGGAATGTTTCCCTGGAGTTAGGGATTAACGGGACTAGGGACCAGTCTCTCTCTCACCCACAGGGACTCATGAGTTCTCAGTCTGTCTACTGTAACTCATCACCATCTCTGGAATCCATCCTCTCTCCATCTCCATCTGCCTCAGTCTCAGCTCTCATTGTCCACCTCACCTGGACCACTGCAACAGCCTTCCTTCTATCTGATCTTTCAGAACTCACTCTTCCCTCTTCTAGCCCATTCTCCACCTGAGGCCATTCATTCATTCATACAACAACAACAAAATCCACTGATTGAAAATGGCTACTTTGTGCCGGACACTTTGTGCCTTCTTTGGTATCCATTTTTTATCACTTTGCTTTCCACCTGTCCCTACTCCATTTGCCTTAGTTACACAGAACCTCTTTTGGCTCCTTAAACAAAGCTTTTTCTCTCTAAACTAGTGGGTCTCTGCTTAGAATACTCTTCCCCCTCTTCTTTGTCTGGCTCAAACCTATTCATCTTCTAGGAGGCTTTCCTTGTCCCGTCTGCCACCCCAAGTCCAGCTAGGCTTCCTTTTCATGTGCTTCCCATTGTACTTACATACAACATTGTAACAAGCTGTTTACTTATTTCTACCCCAATAGGCTATAAATACCATGACCAAGGACCAGGTCAGTCTTTTTTTGGTTACTGTATCCCTAGCACCTAGCACAGTACTTGGCACATAGTAGTTGTTCAATAAATACTTCTTGTATGTATGAATGAATGAATGCAAGGAACTTAAGTTAATAGAATACTGGCCACTCTATTCTCTCTTCTCACCAAGGACATCCCAACTCTTCAGATGTCTGAATTCTCTGAACCATTTGGATTGGGTCAGCCCAATGGTCTCTGGCTTTCTCCACTTGCCTATCCAACTGACTGTCCTCTGTCGTCCTCAGTCACATCTGACAGTGGGCTCCTGCAGTCATGGAAGAGGTAGAGCAGAGGTCTATAGCGTTGGACTATTTAGATTTTCTGTCATTTAACTTGCTTCCTGAGCATTTGAACTCAGGAGATTCTCTTGCCTTCTTCACTTTCTAATAAAAAGCACCAATGTCCACTTACCTTTGTAGGATGCTGCGGTCAGCATGCTGCAGGTGCAGCTCTCATTGGGCGCACTTTTGCAGAGCTCCCTGCCAGTGTCCACGTTCTTCACCATGCACCCCGAGTGTCTTGGAGAGATGCTTCCCACTAATGTCACTGTAATCTGTGGGAGGAAGAAGATGATCCGGGAACCAAATCACTGTCTGTCTCATTTCCATCTATTGAAGAATCTTAAGTGAACTCACCCTTTGACTCACCATAGAAGATTTCTCAGATTGCCGACGTAAAGAGAGATGTTTCATTGGCTATTAGGTTTGCTCTTTTGTGAATCACATATTCAATTCTTGGACTGTTTCTCTTCCTCAACCCTTGCTTATAGGTGAATATAAAACTGTCTCGCCACCTTTATTACTTTATTTTTAAAAACTTATATCTTTGATCCATCTGGAGTTTATTTTTATATATAGTATGAGATAGGGTCCAACCTTAGTTTTAGCCAGATGGTTAGTCAGCTATGTTGCAACCATTTACAAAACAAAACAAAAAACTCACTTGCCCAACTGAACTGAAGTACCATTTTTGTCATATATTAGATGACCATATATTTAGAATCTATTTCTGAACTCTGCTCTGTTCCAGTGATCTACTGAGCTAATTCTATTCCATTCATCAAGTTTTTACTACTGTGAATTTAAACATATTTACTATATGATAAGTATATTTATATTCTTATTTTTATAATTTTCTTAGCATTTCCTAGATAATATTCTTCCATATAAAGTTTAAGATCATTTTGTCCAAAGGGAGTAAGGATATTGAACTGGAATTATACTAAATATATATACATTAATTTTAGGAGAATTTATATCTTTATGATATTAAATATTACCATCCAAACACATGATTTTTTTTTCATTTGTTTCCCTTTGGTCCAGGGTTCGTTTTAAGGGAGTGTACCTTTCCCTAGCTGGGTGGCTCCGTTGGTTGGAGCATTGTCTCATACACCAAGAGGTTGGGGGTTCAATTCCCAGGCATATACCCACGTTGTGGGTTTGATCCCCAGTCGGGGTGTGTATGGGAGGCAACCGATTGATGTTTCTCTTACATCGATGTTTCTCTATCTCTCTCCCTTCCTCTGTCTCTAAGATCATTAAAGCACATACACACACAACATATCCTCAGGTGAGGATTAAAAAACAAACAAACAAACAAACAAACAAACAAATAAATAAATAAGAGGGTGTACATTGATTTTCCAGGTGTCAGCTCTGTATTTCTTATTGCTGGTTGCTAATATCAGTTTATAGTTAAGGACATCCCAACTCTTCAGATGTCTGAATTCTCTGAACCATTTGGATTGGGTCAACCCAACGGCCTGTGAAATCTACTTTTAAAATTATTTAAGATTTTGTTTGTGGTGAAACATATGACCAAATTTGGAGGTGGTGACTATTCTGTGGGTACACAAGGGGTCACAAAAATAAAACCATGAAATTGCCTCTAAAGCAACTTTCCCCCCAATGAATTAACAAAAACAAGGCAGCCAGTCCTCCTGTTGAAAAGGAAACTTAAAGGAATGAATATGCCGATGGAGAGTCCCTTTGTACCAGGCGCACAAAAGGGTAGTGGTGGGAAGGTGGGCTAGGCATTAGAAAGCTGGAGCAGGGGAAGTGGAAACCTTATCCTGAGGCTGAAGAGCTCTGATCCCAGACAACCTGGGAGGGTCCACCTTCTGTTATACTCTGACCTCCGCCCAGACTTTCTGGGTGGCCACCTAGGATTCTGCTGTCCTTTGTCCTCTAATAAGCTAAATCTATCTTAGCCCAGGGGTCAATCCTATCTTTCTATTTTCACAGAATTCTGTTTCTGTGCCATAGAATGATGCTGGGAGAAGGCAAGTTCTTACAGTCCAACCTGGAAGAACCAAAGTCCATCCATCTCTAGGGACTTGAGGCTACTAACGTACTCCATGCCATTCCCACCAACTCGCTCATCTTCAACAAACGCTGACCTCTCATCCACCTGCCTTCTTCAACCCTGCATTTACAGCTGCACCACAATCTCAGCATACAGTCACATCACGTATTACCCTGTATGCATATATATCTTAACTGTATTTTACTAAGAAAAGTTTTTTAAAATCCTATTTTTACCAGTTGTTTTAAATTTTTCACATTTCCTTCTAGTTCTCACATACATAGTTTTAATGTAACTATAATCATTGCATTTATTTATTCCATAAACATTTATCAAGCTGCTCTTAACATGTGCCAAGAGCTGTGCAAAGTACTGACAACTCTAGTGAACCGAACAGCTACAGTCCTCATCCTCAAAGAGCGTATAGTCTAGTAGATGGATGGAAAAGTCCACTAGACTAAATCTAGTCTAGTTTTAGGGCCACACAGGATTAAGAGATCAGTAAGAAAGGACAGAAGCCGGGGCTATGATGGTACAGTGGAAATGGACAGATTCAAGATGCCCTTTAGAGGCAGCATAGAGCAGGATTGGAAATGGGGCATGTGGATATGAAGGATTTGGGTGAGCAAATGGATGGATAGAGGTACCATGTACTGAGATGGGACACAGTGAGGAAGAGGCCCATTTTGGGTAGAAAATTCAAGATTTCAATTTTGAATGTGTTTAGTGTGTGATAATCAAGGGATATGGGCCTGGAGCTTGGACACACTATCTGGGGTTGAGATAAAGGAGACATGAACATATAGGTGATACATAAAGCTATGGGAGTGGGTAAGATTGTCTGTGAATAAAGTAGAGAGTCAGAAGAGAAGAAGAATCAAAACTGGGCCTGAAACAACTCTAATATTTAGAGTCAGGGAGAGAAGGACCCAGCAAGGGAGGCTGAGGCATGGCCGAGGAGAAGAAAGACAGCATGGACAGGGTGTGCAATGAAAAAGAAGGTTTCAAGAATCCAGCCAGTCAGCCAGGTAGGATGAGGACTTCTGGCATCTGCTGAAATGGCTACATGGAGTCAACCAGTGGCCTCAGGGAGGACAGTTTCCAGGGGACAGTGGGGCAAAAGCCAGTTTGGGGTGATCTGAAAATAGGAAAAAGCAAGTTTTTCTCAAGTGCTGTGGAAGGAGAGGTTAGCCAGGAAGTTGAAGGTATTTTTGTGTGGTTTTGGGTTCCAGATGAATATGGTTAAAAAGCTGAAGCCTTGGCTTAATAAACCCAACATGGGAATCCTTAGATCCTTAGCAGGTTGATAGTTCTTTCTTGAACTACAATGGATAAAGAGAAAATGAAGACACAAAGGATCCGATAAAGTTTCAGTGTCAATTAACTGATAATGTCCATGGGGGCCAAGGAACATTCCACTAGGTCAACATGCCTTATTTTACTTAACTATTCCCCTTATTGCCAAGCAGTTCCATCATTTCCAGATTTCTAATTCTATAAATGCTACTGCAATAGCATCTGTATGCTTCTGGATTTTCTTCTTTCAAGTTACTTCTTCAGAATTCTAAGCCTGGAATTGCTGCTTGCAACAGAATGAATATATTTATGACTTTTGAAACATACTGCCAAATTGCTTTCCAAAAAGATTGTGCTAATTGGCATTGCCAACACTAGGTGTTAGCATATCTTATTATCACTTTAATTTGTATTTATTTGGGAGCTGGTGAAGTTGAACATATTGCCATATCTATAGCTAACTCTCTAAACCTCTTCTTGTGAGAATATACACGTTGCCCACTTACTTTTGGTGTCTTAATGTATTTCTTTTTAATGTTTCCTAGCTTTAATATCTTGCAATTAATATTTTACTTATTGCAAATGTTTTCCTAATGCATGTGATTTAGTTACTTCTTAGTTTTTGTTGTATAGATGTTAAAAGTCAAGTTTATGAGTATTTTTTGTTATTTCATACTATATTGCTTCAAAGCTAAGAAAATTATACTTCCCAATTATTTGATGCTCAATTCTATTTTCTGTCAGCTTTTCATATGAACTTCTTAATTAACCTACATTTTATTTATTTATTTTTATTATTATTTTTTTCTTTTTTCCACTGTGTAACCCATTTCAGTGCCTGCAACCTACTGGCAGAGGCTGGGCAATGGTTCAAGGCCACAGTTTGCTCTGGCATGGAGCACTATGAGAGACCCAGGGGGACGGGCCTGCCATAAAGCCAAGCCCATGCATCTAAATTTTATTTTTATATTTAATGTAAAATGTGAATTAAATTACAGTTTTATATTGTAAGTTATCACAGTCTCTTTTATGAAATAATTATTGTGTTTCCTCTTATTTTATGGCATTTAATCTTTAAAAGTTTTACATCTACTTCTCAGCTTTTTACTCTGTTTCATGGAATAGAGTAAAAAGTATATTTTAAACCAGAATCATGGGCTGAATTATTGTCATTATATATATATATATATATGTTTACAATCATATGGAAATGGTCTTGCTTAAATAATTTTCTTTTTTCAAAATATATTTTGGATATTCTTAACCAGTTCATATTATTCCAGATGAATTTTATATTAACTTTAAGACAGAGTCAATTTTCACTGGGATTACATAAAATCTAGAAAATAGATTGAGGAAGATGTGACATTTTTATTATATCTTCCCGCCAAGAAACATAGTATGTGTCTGGATATGTTCAAGATGCTTTTCATATCTTCTAAGAAAATACCTTGTGTGTTTTTGATTTTTATTTATGCTTTTAATTGATAAGTTTCCCTATTATGAATTATAAATAGCCTCAATAGATCACTGCCCTACATTCTAATTACTACTAGAAAAAAATGCTCAAGACAAGCTGTTATAAAGCCAAAATGACTATTTTTGGTAGTTGTCTTCAACATGCATCTCCTAGTAAACATGATTTTAAATATAGGGTATATAAGATTAAACCTGAGAATTTCTGTTGTTTTGATGAATGGGACCTTTTGTTAATGGACATTAACAGTTTGTTTTACATCACATGTAAATAAGGCTATTGATATTTAAATGGTTGTTGAACACTTAACACTTTGTTTTACTTTTACTAATTTAAAGTTATACCAGGTAAAAGCTAATATGTTTGGATTTTGCAGATATACAACCACTTAACAGTGGCAAACAATGGTATTTTTGTCTATTCCAGTCCAATAATTATTCCTAGTACTCGTTTCTTGTATTACTGGACTGGACAGAACTGAAAATGATGCTGACTGAATCAGTGATGGTGAAATTCCTTGTTTTCATTATAATTTGTAAAAGAATGTTTCTAGTGACTCTCTTTTAGAATCCATGCGCTTTGCGGGAAATACTTCATTCTGGCATTTTTGTTTTTATCAGTATAAGCCATTTTTACTGCATGTTAAAATCTCCTTATCGGTAGACACAAACATACTTTTACATAGTGCGAGAACAGGATATGTCATTCATCCTTTTTTGTGTTTGTGTTTTTTTACTTATCTATTCCTTACCTCTCCATCACGCATTCCATCAGGGGAGCCCATGTTTCCAACCTAGTAATCAATTCTCCATATTTTTCTCAAATAACCATGAAGAGACATATACGCATAAACTTAGATAGGGACTTTTTAATCAAAACATACTTTTCTGCATCTTGCTGTTTTTACTCAACCTCATGGAAATCCCTCCAAGATACCTGGATTGCTCTAATTATTTCTTTTTAATGCTGGTTTCTTCATGAGAATGAGAATATACTATCTTCTCATTGTTTTGTGTAGAGAGATGAAGCTTCTTGGGAACAGAGTCTCTGTGTTATAGGGGAGTTTTCTGTACCTAGAAAGTTACCACAATGCCATGAGGTATAAGATGGGCAGTTCACCAACACTATGAACAGAGCTGGTGGGTAGAATTGAGGAAAACCATAGACTGCCCTCTCTGTAGGTCAGGATCAGGTATTATTTAAGTAAACAACGATCTGCCTGACCTGCGTGGCTCAGTGGTTGAGCATTGACCTATGAACCAAGAGGTCACAGTTCGATTCCTGGTCAGGGCACATGCTCAGGTTGCAGGCTCCATCCCCAGAGTGGGGCGTGCAGGAAGCAGCCAATCAATGATTTTCTCTCATCATAATGTTTCTATCCCTCCCTCCCCCTCCCTTCCTCTCTGAAATCAATAAAAATATATTTTAAAAGAGAATAAATATAAATAAATAAATAAACAAAGACCTGAGACTTTCGGGTAAGTCATCAACGACCACAGAACAGAAATATTTTTGAAACATTGTGACCAAGAGATGGAGTCAAATGTCCTATCAACACTGTTAAAATAATCAGTCCAAAGTTGGTTTCAAAGGCTAGTTTGACTCAAATTACTAAATCCTTATCTCCTTTATCTTGAGATTGATGATGAGCTGGAGAGATTGAGTAATGGTTGTGTGGGAAGACGAGAGGGATTAGGGTAAACCACAGAGGGACTCAGGGTGGGAGGGAAGTAGTAGTGGCTGTTTGGGTGGTAAACAGTTTTTGTATGATCCAGACTAGATATAAATGGTGGTTAATTTATAAGAGTGAACCCAAAGAGAGGTAAGCAAATTGCATAAGCAGCACTTTTTATTTAATGAACAAGTTACATTCCCTCACTATATTTACCTGAATTGTTACCCTTAAAATTTTCAAAATGACAAAACAAAAAAATCTTGCATAATCTTAACCACTTATCAGAGTCCTGGGTAGATTCAAGGATTATGGTATTTTCTCTCACTCTCTATCAGCACCAACGATTTTTTCAGACTGAAATAAAAATGTGGTCATGCCTACGCTTAGATGCCTGTGTGCTTTTTTTTACAGTATCTATTCACTCTTGACTCAGGCCTGTTTGGATGAGGCTTTGAAAGTTCTTTTTACATTCCCTCCCCCCAGGAAGACAATAGAAAGTGACAACAACCAAAAAACTTTAAATCCTTGAGAGTTCTGATCAGTTATGACTTGAAAGCTTGATTCTTTTATTATTTATCGCTCATTAAATGCTCTGGCTCTCCTTTATTAAATGTTAAATCATCTTAAAAGGTATGGTGCTTGCTAGTTGAAATGGCAAAGTGTAAGAGAAAAAAGAAAATGGCCCATTTCCTTATTAATGTGACATTCAAATAAAACAGAGTGAGGTCAGCTGGCTGCTGATGGGGGTTCTGTACAATCATTCATAATACAAGAGCCATAATTAGGGAGACAAAGTCTCCTTACAGCACGTTGAGATAGCAGGGCAGGAATTCCACCTTCCCACAGGAGACGGTTAGTATGTGAATCAGAAAATGCTTGAATATACTCATTTCTTCCTTTCTCTCATCCAGAGACAGGGTTGACTGGCTGTTTGTCCTTGGCAGGAGCCCATGGGCTTTCTTTCCAAGGGACCCCACTTACAGTATCCACTGCCCACAGCGGTTTCTCTCCACTCTACCAATAGTGCTTGAAGCCACGTTCATAAAATAGCTGTAGGAGAAGCCTGACCACATAAGGAAAAGGAATCATAAAACAAAACAAAATTCTACACTAAGCCGCATTTAAGGCATCTTATTGACCATGAGTCTGAATTTCTTTTTTCTCTATTTTTTAAATCAATATGTTTTCATACTACATTAAAAGTCCATCTTTTCTTTAAATTCAACTATTCAGGTTCATCTGCAGCTCCCCGGGCTAACTAACTGCACATGGACAGGTCCACGGTGTGTCTTGGTCTCTGCTGTATCCCTGGCACCTGCAGAGTGTGTGGCGTCTGGTAGGCTCTCAATATTAGTTAATGAAGTGAATGACTCTCCTAACCAAGCATATTTGTTCGCTAATAGGTACTTTTCACACAGAAGGAAGTTAGCATCAATTGTGCAAAACGAGACAATACAATGGAGGCAAATGAAAACCTTTCCTCTTACCTTATCTTTACTTCTTTGAGAGATGTGGATTTGGGGGCACATTTTAGCTCCTGATGAAATATCCAGCCAGTTTTCTGAGTTCTCTGAATGTACACAATCATCTTTAAAAGTACACCTATTAAAAAAGGGGAGGGCAACAAAACAGCAACCCCACACACGCATTAGTTAAAACTTTCTCACACTGGCGTCGGCACAAAATCCCAAGCTTTGTACAGTGGATTATTGGTTTTGAGAAAGAATAGGAATGAGATGCTAAAACCATGAAAAGCAACAGGAACACAGCAGAGCGTGTTTCCCATCCTGTCTGGGTGCAGAGAACAAATGCAAACAACATGTTGAACTTAGACTCCAGAGCCATCCCTTTAGTTGCCATCTCCAAATACATCACAAGCACAGCCTCTCGCGGATTCTGAAATTAAAGAACTCCCTTCTAAAAAAACCTAGCAAAGTACAGCCCAAGAAAGGGTTTATATACTATACATATTTTAGGTTTGCAATTCACTCCCAGAATACTGACCTATTGCATAAGTTATTTTGTAGTAAAAAAAAAACCCAACACATTACTACTTTGTACTTTTTCAATATGATAATTAAATAAAAATATGTCAAGGACAGAGTCTTCCCAAGAATTTGATAAGATATCCCATGACTATGTGCTACCTAACATTTATTTATTTATTCAGATATACCAAATTATATCAAAAGATATGGGGGAGGCACTTTCCAGGGCCACTTTCCTCAGAGGAGGCCCCCAGTGAACCACGCTGTGCTCAGGGCCAGCTACTCTGAAAACATGATCAGAAGCGGAGTGCTGAGATCACTTGGTTTGCTCAATGTCTCGGTCACTCCAGGTCATGCTGACTTGGGACCTCTTGCTTCCCCAGAGGGCTGCCAGCTGATAGGAAGAATGAGCGCCCAGAGCCACATTATTTCCAAGTAGCATTGGACTCCACAGACATTTCATCGAACAATGTCAAGGAGAGAAGAAAACCTCTCTGTTATGTCTGCCTCCGGAGGGCCGACGGCTCAAATGAAGAGGTAGGAGAGAACCAGTGACGCTGTTGCAAAAGAAACTGAAAATTCATGAATCATGAGATTGAAATGCAACCCAACGGTAACTACATTCAGTGTGGGAGTCCCTGAGAGGATCGGAGTAGAATGAGATGCGGGCCCAAACAGTGTATTTGACATGCATTGACATTTTACAGGTGTTTCTTTCTTCTTCCCTCCCTCCCCGCTCTTCTCTCTTTTAAAATTCTTAAGAATTTAGGCCCCATGGTTTTGTCTTTGAGTTCTGTGCTAATTTGAATATGACAAAAATAGAACAGGAAACCAGTGAGTTTCATTAGACATCATCCGCAAGCACAATATTCTCAGCATGTCATCATATTATGACATTTTGGGGAGCCCTGTTTCCAGTGAGCGTGCCTGTGTCTGAACTCACCTACATCTGTGCCAGTTCCTCCTCCAACACCTGACCAGTGGGATTTTCACCGGCAATTCTCCAAAGCCATACATTTATCTGACCCTTGATGGCTAGCTCGTCTGTCATGGACATTTAGTTCAAATTAAGTCACCTCTCAAAGTCAGGGGGAGTTGGCAATGGAGGGACATGTACCACTGGACTGGAAATCAGAGACTGATGAGGCTGGTTTCTAATTCTGTAATTGGAAAAGATGATGACTGGCAAGAACGAACTGCCTCTCAGGGGCTCTCTGGTTTGTACAAGGCACTTCCTCTGCCGATAAGAAAGAAAAAAAAAAGCCAGTTTTACAGAGACTGGAGTACAAATATTTTGTAGGCTCTTAATGCTGCCTGGGAGTCAAGGCCCAAGGCTGCCAAAAAAACAAGTGTAAAATATTTCATACAAATAGTGCTACGATTTGCCAATTTGTAGGCAGAAAACAGTAGTGCCACTGAGTTATCACTCTCTTTTCTGAACTCCTATAGCATTTCTTGTCGGAAGCATACGTTTTGGTATTTAATCATATGCTGCCTTGAATTACAATTTAACTGTTTCATATGTCTATGTCATTTCTCCCCGAGTAAGCTCTAAGCTCCTCAAAGGAAGAGAGGATGTCTTTAATATTTCTTCAGCAAATCCCTCAGTGTCTGGCAGCATGATATGCAAATACTAGGGTTTCAATAAATATGTTTGAATAAATGGATGAAATATGAAATCTCTATAGGTCCTTTCTGTTGGTGATTTTTCTCTCTAGTTTCCCTATGATTTATGTCTGACTCCTACTTACAGTAAGGAGACTATTTTTAACATAAGCCAAAAGTTCATATGTGGGGTTGGAGAGGGAACAAATTAGGAGTTGAAGTTTTTAGTTTATCTTTTGTAAAAAAATAAAAGTGTGGGTGTGTGTGTGTGTGTGTGTGTGTATGAAATAGACCTTCCAATTCCTATTTTGCATAAGGTAAAAACAAAATCTAACCATGTTAAGCAACTAAACATGAATTCCTTGTTCGTAAAGCACTTTTGAAATTTCTAAACTCCCATTCCTTGCTTCTCACCATTTAAAACATAAAATTGAAAAAATAAAAAAAACAAATCGTGACACCAAGAATGTATAACCAGATGGCCAACCAACAACAGTGTCTTATTACTTCTCTGATATTACAAGTTATAAAATCTTCATGACAGCACATTACCCACACATTCAAACTTCTTACAGAGGGGGAGCAGATCTTAGAGCTCCTACATTTTAGTAAACAAAACCAGTTACTTTGAAAGCTAACCCTCTGACTCCCGTGTATGAATAAAAGCAATGGTCAAAAGCATAAACACTTAAGCCATTGCTCAAATAAAATTAAAATCTCAGTCAGACACCAGGCTTGGTGCGGGGGATCCTCAATGAGTCACTCCCAGATAGACTGATTTCTTAATTGGCTTCATTTCATTTTCTTCAGGTCACAGCTAGGAGGGGAAGTGGATTCGCTTTGGGATGAGTGCATTCTGGAGAAAATGGCAGAGACAGATTTGCTATCCTTACCATACACCACTGCCATTTCCCCAGCCGCTGCTGGGAGTCCACCCCAAAGTCCTAAGATCCCAATCAGTATTTTATTTTTCTAGTCCTTCATCCAGCTAGATCTCATGCTCACATGACAAGGCCAATGTGCAACACTAGCCCATTCGCAAATTAGGAAATGAAACAATCTCAAATGCAAAGACAAAACTGCTTGAATTAAAAAAAAAGCACACAATAACCAATAAGTTAATTAAAAAAGGCTTTCCTTGGGTGAAAAACATTGTATGAGGAAACAATTTAGTGAATGAAACTATTTAAGAAGGCTTGTTCTTATCCGTTTGCTATAAAATCTGCTGTAGAGCTTAATTTATTCTAAATAATAAGAGTTTGATATCCCACTCAACTATGTGTACATGGACCACCCCTCCCCCACCCCTCACTCCTAATGAAGTATGTTCAAAACCTACCCAGGCCCCGACTCATGAACAGGGAGATTCCAGACATTTGTTTCTAAGTTTGCTGGTTAGAACTCAGAAAATATTTTCATTCTGTGGGTTTGCTTCCTGAGTTTATGGAAATCTGTCTAAACCCTAACATCCGCTAGTAACTACCCCACCACGCAGCTGCATGGACGGGACGCTGCCCCATGCCAGGTACTGGTCTGAGGGTTGGCAGTTAGTACTTCCCCGCTAGTCCTCACACAGCCTCACTGTATAGGCATGAAACTGAGGCTCAGACAACTGCAACACCATGCCAAGGTCACATAGCCAAGGGATAGCCGTCTGGCTTCAGAGCCACACACCTGGCCACTCTGTTCCATGGCTTCCTATGAGCCCTAGCTGCCATTCATAAGGTGCATGAGGATAAAGACAGTCAGAGTTCCTCCTGGCCTACTGGGGTCTCCACAGTGGTTGCAGGATGGGGCTGGGACTTGGCTGGGACAAGGCGACGGAGATGAGGACTGCAGCAGCAGAGAATAAAGAAAGTGAAGAATAGTTTCGAGGATGAAAAGGGCAGCAAGGATTTAGGAGGGGTGGGGATTCTGAGAGGTCTCTAATTTTCACTGATCACCCTGAACACAGAATATCCAATTATAGGTTCAAATTTCAGGAGGCCCCAGCTTCAAAAAACTAGTGTGCTTTTTAAAATTTGCTTGCAAACCATCTGTTTGTAATATGGAATACCTTTTCTCCCCATAGAACTAATGTTATGAACAGTGATTAGGTTTTCAGGTTCATTCACAAAACCCATTTATCCATAATGTTACCTCAATACTACATATTTGCAATAAAAGAGAAGCAGAAAACAATGAGATTGCACCATTTGCATTATATAGCAGTTTTTCTTCTTTACTTATTTGTGTTTCGGCTCAGCTGGTAACCTGGGAACAGTGCCCAGCTGGATCGACTTTTACATCTATTACTATAGTATTGTATTTATACAGTTTTTCTGTTTTTTAATACGTATGGCTTAAATTATTAATTGTTTCCATGCCAACATAAAGAACTGGGAGACCCACCACCGAACAGGAGCTGAAGCTTCCAGGCAGGTGAAATGCCCGTGGGCCAGGCTGGGGGACCTTGAGAACCTGACTCTATTAGGCCAGAATCTCTCAGTAAAAATTTACCACTTACTCAACCTTGAACTAAAACTCTGAACTCAGAAATGTAACTTCTACTTTGGGCGCCCCTGGAATTTCATCAGCATTCTCTAATGTAATTGTTCACCAAGAGCAGACAGTCCCTGAGAAAACTGATAACTAAATATCAGGTAATTGGCCTGAATGTGGGGGTCGGTGAGACCCGTTCCAAAGAGTCTATGCTGATATAATATCAGAAAACTTGTAACAAGGACAGTCCAGCCTCTCCTTCAGGGAACAGGAGACTGTGTCCACACTCAGGGGAGGCTTCGCTACAAGAGCATCCTAAGGTCTCTGCCAAGTGACTTGAAACAGATGTCTGTATTTTTTAAGAAAGGCACAGAGCCCAGAGGAGGGCCAGGTGCTCCCTGGAATCAGGGGACTTTCATTAACATTGTCAGTCCATGAGATGAAGAAACCAAACTGAATTGAATAGATTTAAAAAAAAAAAAAAGGAAGTCATGGTGACAAACTAAGTCTGAAGTCAAGGCCTCCAGA